GCCTAGGTACCCCGTTGTGGTTGTCGCCGTGGGTTGTTTTTGCTACCGCCGCGCCGGCTGTTACTGTTTACATTCGTTCCCCCACCACATTTTTTTTTTTTTTTTTTTTTTTTTTTTTCCTTAGGCCACCTGGAGGCTCGGTATCTCTCTTTCTTGAAAGAAAAGAGGGAGGAGATAAAGAGAGGATTTGCATCGTAAATACAATAATACTGACTATATTCTAGGCGGCTGTGCCCAATGGCTAGGAATTCAACCGCCTCCTCGGGATGATGCATTATGCGCGGAGAATCTTCAAACCATTTCCAAGGGAATTGAGCGTAGTAACCATATACGAATATCTCTGAATGGAGCTACGTACCCAACCCGTCTGATTGATGTGGGGGCTAAGGGAAGCAACTTCTGCCGACTTGTAGAGACGAAAGCCGATCCCGCATTTGCGCAGTCTTCTGATATTCAATATGCAACTTTAAGTTATTGCTGGGGACCACCGGAAGACTCTTCTCGGCAGTTCAAGACGGAGACGAGCTCGTTTCAAAAGAGAACAGTCGGATTTGGCATCGATCAGGCTTCCCCAATCCTCCGGGATGCTGTTCGGGTTGCGCAAACTTTAGGAATACGGTATCTCTGGGTGGATGCGGTGTGCATTATCCAAGACGATAAACAGGATTGGTATAAGGAATCCTCGCAGATTTCTCTGATATTCCAGAATTCCGCTCTGACTATCTGTAGTCCGGCTTCTACGTCTTGTCAGGAGGGATTCCTTAACAGGAATTGGACTACGACGAGAATAAGATTCCAGTCTAGGATCAACAGGGCGGTATCCGGGTCTTACACTCTCCGCCTCGTCGGCGAGGTGAAAGATTACTTTCACGCCACTTCTGATGGACTATCTCTCGCGCTAACGCATAGCTCTTGGGCTACAAGAGGGTGGATACTTCAGGAATACGAGTTATCACAGCGGGCGCTCGTGTTTACCAAGACGAATTTACATGTTATCACTGAGCATGGCGTCCAGTCCGAAGCAGACGAGACAATAGATATATCGGAGCGTACTCGCGGGGCTAGTTTTCTTCCTGGTAGTCGTAACGAGTTGAACAAGTATCTGAACTTCTTGTCCCTGGTCGAGGACTACTCGGCAATGAAGCTCACTCATCGTTCTGACAAATTTCCTGCGATATCTGGACTTGCTAGTCGACTATATAACGGCGGGGGTTACTACGCAGGGCACATACTCCCGCACATCGACTTGCTTTGGACGTCTGTGCTTTGTCAACCAGTCGATCGCATCACAAGAGAAGCGCTAGTCGAAACTCTGAAGTCTCAGGACCCCTACGTCGCACCCTCGTGGAGCTGGGCTAGCCGGAATCATGCAGTTACATTTGGCGACGGGCGGCTCAGATTGGTTTCTCAGGAGTTAGACTTTCCAAAGATCCGGGCGGAATGTCACGTCGTCGAGGCAAAGACGTCGATTACAGGCGTAGATCTATTCAGTGGCATACAAGACGGAGAACTCACTCTCCACAGTGTCGTCGTACCTCTCATAACCCAAACCGAGCTACAAGGAACCGAAAATGGAATGTTTGTGCAATTGCTCGCAGGTGTTGATGGTAACAGCAAAGTATGCCGGCTTATCGAGGCCGGCCAGTATATAGCCGATCTCAGCTTCGACTGGAACGAGATGGACGCCGGAGAGACATTTGATGACCTATCGTTAGTCTTGATTGGAAGTCGCGATACCAAGGGCCTCTCCTGGGAGCCGATTAAGCTTATATATGAACATGAATTGCTCGATGAGGCGGAGGAGAAGTTGGTTGAAGAGAGGGATACTAGCATGTCAAATTTTATTGTTAGGGGGCGTCCCGATGCCGCGAGTCTGCGCGGAAAGCGAGTTTTTTATAGGGTTCATCACTGTCGCGGGTGTGATGGTGATGATAATGAAAACGACGAAGATCACATGACAGAAGATCGACTAATCTGCGATCCGTGTCAAAACCACAAGATAGGTATTACGCATGGTAAGGTTGTTGATGCGGAAAGGGAATATCAGCGACACGTATCAGAGGTTTATGAAGGACAGAGGCGATTGTCACGACATAGCGATAGCGATAGCGATGATGATGATGGTGATGATGACAATAGGTATGCTTATGGCATTATCGTTCAACCCGTTCCTAGTTCGGGGAAATATTTTCGGGTTGGCGTATTTCTATCCGTGCCTCGGGAACGCGGTGGTTTGAAATACTTTCGGGATAAGCCGAAGCGAAATGTTGAGATCGTCTAACATAGAAAGCCTGTTTTGCAATCCCTATTTTGCAGTTGGGCACACTGGCAAATAATTTTGCCAGGTTTTTATATAATACGATGATTTTTTTTTTTTTTCTCATAAGACGTTTAAACGAAGGAGTTTAGAAGGCTGAAGGTGAGATGATGATTCATCTAAGGTTAGAGAATTTTATGGATGGAGGTAGCGATAGCTATCTCCGATGTATTCTAGTACTTAGGTACCTAGGTAGGTTTGGTACCTGAGCTAGTAATTGTTACCCGCCATTACGTTATGTAACAAGTGCCCTGAGTTAACCTAGCGAAAAATGCCTTAGTCAAGCCAGTACCTAAAAGAGGTACCTACCTTAATGAGGTGCACATATATTCCGTTAAGTTGTGCACACGAGAGGCATATTTTTAAAAAAAAAAAATAAAAAAATAAAAGAATTTAACTTATCAACCTCAATTTTCAATTTGCAGGCTCAACTTACCTTGGTACCTCTAATACTTCGTTCTTTGGCTCCTCAGTGGGGACGGGCTGTTACGTTACCCAACACCGTCTAAATACAGATAGGTAACAACTATCGTCAGATATGTTACCGCCTTTGTTACTCTGCGCATGATCCTGATATAAATACTCCACTCCATAAAACCGACAAGTTCTTTGAGGGCGATAGTTTCATCTCCCCGGCCCTCGATAACAAAATACAAAATACCCGAGAGATTGCGGCTCTACAAGATGACCTCCCTCAGCACCTTTCAATGTTTTAATAACCTCCCTAAGGAACTCCGTATTCTGATCTGGGAGTACCACTTTGAAAGTGCTCGTATCCACGTCATCCATCCTTCTCCTGAGACTCATTTGCGAAATCCGAAGAGGGACGTTCTTCTATTTCATTGTACCGTTCTGGACTCGGCCACCAACCTCATCATTCCGGATGGCCTGCCCCCGTCTCTCTTGATCAACCATGAGGCTTATAACATTGCCATGTCGTGTAAGCGCCAGTGGACGCCCGTCATTTTCACCAATGACCTTGCCGACTCGGTCAGCTCAGGCCGAGCTCGCGTGCATTTCCAATTCTCTCTGACTGCCGGTTCGAACGTCCCTGTCGAGTTTAATGATACGCGGCCGCAAGCGCGCCCCGTCTACGTTGACTGGGAGCGCGATATGCTCTACCTCTGCGTATCGAACGCCGAGCAAGCGTTCTGGTCGATGCGCACCGTGCGCTGGCGAGACCGCGTGAGGAAACTGGCCGTGCTCGTGCCGCAGAGCGAATTCGACAGGGCCATCCCTTTCGGTCCGACGGATCCCATCCGCGAAGTCCTGGAATCCATGACGGAGCTCGAGGAGCTGTTCGTCGTGCTGGTCCCTCAGGTCGACGGTCTTGTCCCTGTCGCTGCTACTCCTTCCTCTAATGTACTGACCGGTCTTTCAAGAGATGGGTTCGGCTTCGTCCCTTACGTCGAGTATCTCAAGAAAGTCGGCCTCACAAGCAATCACATTCTTTACACTCGCACCGCCATGTCCTTCCGCGAGGCTCTGGCGGACTTACCTAATAAAATCAGGCTCAAGAGAGTCGTCGATGTGGATTGCCTTACTTGCTCTTTCGGCTACTATCGACGTAGTCTCAGTCTCTGTTTTTGAACTACCGTTATTTCGATAGTTCCTAGGTGACAGTTTACGACTTTGTCTATATGGTTGGTTTTCACCTTTCAGTCTACTCAGCATCTCAGAGGGCATAAGTGCATATAATCGGGTTCAATTGAGTAGAGATACGAGGGAGGACATTGAGAATTTCTGCTCCTTTATCTACAGGGGTATATACGGTCTCTATCGCCAACACAAGAATATTCCCAGGCTCTCCAAACATAGATCTCCGCGTCTTAGGTGCGTCTAGTCTACAATATGCCAAGCCTGGAGGTTACCACAGAGTCCTCAATTAACACTTCGTCTAGCGTTGATGAAGTAGCGGTACACATATCAAGGAATGCATTATAATGAGGCATTTTCATTTCTTTTTATTTTTTATTTTTTTCAAGATCGATGAACCGTTCATCTGGCGTCAACCTGCGAAATCAAGCCTAGAAGATACCCCCTATAAATACAGGCCCTCTTGCCCACAGCTCATACCAGTCAAACTATTCTACATCTCATGAAGAAGATAGAAATTAAATCGTTTACGTCCCATGGGCATACCGCGGGTTTACCCTGGGGGTTTATACATTCATACTTAATCGGCCGATACGTATTGTATGGTGCGTGGAGAGGAGGATACCATAGCAAGGCCAGTGTACCAGCTGATAAAGAAGTATAAACGTCTGACAATATCAGAACATTATGAAATCAAGTCCCATAAACAAGCATCTTTTTCGCCATAAATGATGGCGTATATACCTCATCATCGAAAGATTCTAATTGGACATGTGTTTGTACTACCTAGATCCTTTCAAGAAACGACCAGTGCCTGTTGCCAAATATCCGAGTCCATTACCACGAACACTTTAGGCTAGATCTATAGCTACCTAGGTATTTAATGAGTTGATAGTTGATAGTTATTAATGCGAACAATTGATATACTCATAAAAAAAAGATAATTGACCATAGGTCATGTGTAGATATCCCATGAAGGTCCTCACCTCTCTATGTAGGGGTAAGCAATCAAGCAAGTGACCATGGGATCTTGTGCAAACGGAATCCAAGTCCCCCTTAAACATCGTGCGAACCCGTCCCTTGCTCTACATCTCATACAGCCGTTCGACATACCTGGCCTTCCGAATAAGTCCGGATCAACCCTAATTGATAAGAAGGATGAAGTGGCGCCAGCATGGTATGGCGGCTAAAGCGGGATAGCATGGGGGCATTTGCACATTCAGAATATGACGCAGCCAATACAGACTAGAGGACATATGCATTAGAACGCCTCCATAAGCTCGGGGCTTCGAAAAAAAAAATCAATGATATCAGTGGGTTTTACATGCTATCATCTGATAAATGATAGCGTCGCAGGGGAAGAGCTATCTTTGTCGGCCTGTATTATACTTATACCTGGTATCATTATGATATATATAACTGATAGGTTATAAGTGACGAGTCGATATATTGCTTGCACGTAAAGCGTAACCGGAGACTACTACCTACAACGATCGGGTAAATTGGGAGATGCTAACGTTAAGAAATTCTAGAAATACTGGTACGTCGCATCCAGTATTGTACCTATATATACCGGGTAGGTTATCTAGGTCTAGGTACCTAGATTATGGCTATAGTACATTGAGATTGACGTGAAGGAAACTATGTCAATGGATTGATTCTATAAGGTTATACAACTACTTACCTACCTAAGGTATATATAGATGAAAGGTAACCCACTATATACAACCCACGCTATTCATGACAATAGCGGTTTGGCTATTGGCATCTACGGTCAGTGTCCTTAGACTTAAGAGATCTCTCGAATACCAGTAAAAGGCGGTTAAGGTGGAAGCCCGCATAGCCAGCCCATGGGTTTACTCAGGCGGCTTAACTCCCGAGATCTCCTCAAGAGTCCGGATCAACTTATCCTGTGTGGCTTCGTCGTCGAGTGCTTTTGAATATCTTGTTTCATGGCCCGAGCCGGCGGAACTCCGGGCGAGAGACTGATACCAGTATTTCCCCGTCGCGCCCTCGGCAGCCCCTGACCCCTCCGCTAGCAGGACGTAGGTATCAACCGCTGCGTCGATGTCATCGGGCGCCGCCGGGCCACCCATCCTTGTAGGAACCCATCCTGGACTCAAGGCGTTGCTCAGCACACCTCGGTTGGCGAGGCGGCGTGCGAACCAAAAGGCTAACAAGGCGTCGTGCAGCTTGCTATCGCTGTAGGTGCACTGCCGGATATTGCGCAATAAGGGGTCACCGCCCTTGTGCATGCCACTAGAGACGAAGACATAGCGCTTCGGCGGCGGGTTTATCAAAGAGGTTAACACGTACGGCGCTAGCGTGTTGATGGCAAAGAGCACAGGAATTCCGTCCTTGTTTTTGACGCCATCCACGCCATGCATGACGGCGGCGTTATGAAAGATAGCATCCCAGGGGCCGGTTTCGTTCAGCTGTTTCGCCAGCGCCTTGGTTTCTTCCGCGGACGCCAGGTCCGCGACGAACACGCCCTTAGCCCCAGGACAGGCCGCGCGCGCGTCCTGGGCTCTTGGGCTATTTCGGGCGTGAAGATAGACGTCGTGGCCCCGCTGGATGAGGACCCGGGCCGAGCGTATCGCAAGGCCTTTTGCATCTGATGATCCGGTGATGAAGATGCGGGCCATGGTGTGTCAAAGAAGATAAGACGGTTTTACGTACCTAACCTATTATCAGCGAGTAAAGACCGATACTAAATTCCCTAACCTAGGCGTTTAAGACGAATTTATAGGATATCGCCATTCGGGTTTGGACCCAAAAAAATCGGCTCCAGATTAGAAATCAAGATTGATTCATCGAAAGTCAGAGACCGCTTTTAGTATAATGACGTTCCAATAATTACCTAGGTTAGGTAGGTATATGCTAACACAGCAAGCTATCTACTAAAAAGACATTGACGATGCTGTGGACATGATAAGGTCACATAAGACCTTGCCCGATAAAATTTCAAATGTTGAATGTTGATATTTATGAATAAGAACAAGACTCGGGCGAACTTCATTTATAAGGTAGTCGGTGCCATTTATTAAGCTGCATTATATGATGTTAGGTATTTCCAAGCTTGTCGTAAAAACAATATAAAACTTGCAAAGGCCACATGGAAATATACATAGTATACTTCGTACATGTCAACAAATCAAAGCTTCAAAAAAAGTCAGGTACCTGTCTTAGAACATGCCAACCTAAGAATAGGTAGTACAAGAGATCCAACTACCTAATCGAATTCATGTACTATTTTGTATGTACACGTGCTATGTACCCCAGCAGAAAGGCGTCAAAAAGCTGGCGTACCCGACCTCATCTAATAGTAATAAAATGAACAAAAAGGATGATCATAAACCTTAACTTATTTTTACATTTTATTCTCCTTGTATTGAATTTTATTTTCTATTTAAAACTTTGTGAAAGATATTTAATGTGAATGTACATATAGTGTGAGAGTGCGCCACATTTTTTAACGCCTTTCTGCCCCAGATCTAAAGTTATTGCTTGCCCCACTAAGCTAATATTTAAAGCGTTTGGCTCCTGCGGGCTGCAGGCTATTGGTGGGATGGGAATTTAGCCTTACCTCATCACTGACTTTCATCATTGAATTTAAACCGTCTGACCGTACTGCGATCGCAAATCACACAAAGGAGACGATACCAAACAACACCCGACAGTAATTATGACCGGAGAACAGATTACACTAACGTTAGAGAAATAATCGATAATTCTATATACAATGACCGGCAATTCAACCGGGCGCAAACCTAATGGGGGTTTATCAGCCTCGTCCGCATCGGGTCAGAACGAGACTTCGAAAACAGCTAAAACTAAAGATTCTCCCCGGGGCAAGAAGGTCATAATTCGTCGACTTCCGCCGGGCATAACAGAGGCGGAATTCTGGGCTATCTTGGGAGATGAGTGGAAGAGCGGAAATGGGAAAGCAGAGTGGATGAGATTCCAGGAGGGTCAAATATCACACGAGTAAGTCCTACAAACCATACAAACAATGCAAACCAATGCAAACCACATAAAACCAAGATAAAGAAGAAACATCTACTTATTTTCCTTACTTACCTACCTATTCAGTCCGTCGAACCCGTCCATGCCCGCGCGTTGTTATCTACAGGTCCGACCCGAAGACATACCTATCTTAGCTGATATCGTCCGAGCATCAACTTGGGAAGATGAGAAACGAACCTTCTCCGACTCAGCCCTTGTAGGGCCCCCCTATCTAGAGCTTTCTATCTACCAGAAGGTCCCCACTACGAAGAGACGCACAGATTCTAAGCAAGGTACTATCGATCAAGATCCCGATTTCATGGCTTTTCTCGACAGTCTTACTCGGGATACCACCAACGTGAAAGAAGGTGATGCCGAACAAGTAGAGGATGCAAGCAAGGCAGATACTAAGGTCACCACTACACCTCTGGTCGAATTTCTCAAGGAAAAGAAAGCCAATAAGGGAAAGGAGAGCAGTAACGTTAAGAGTGGTGGTAAGCATGCTAGGCATGAATCCCAGGGTGTGAAATCGAAAGGGGGCCACGAAGATTCTAAGAAGAAGGGAAAGGACACCAAGGCCGAAAAAGCTGAAAAAGCTGCGGATAAGGAGGAGAAAAGGGTCAAGGAGCCCGTGAAGCTCCTCACCAAAAAGTCAGCCGCTGTGGAGTCAGCCGAGGCAACCAAACCGACGTCCACCCAGGCTAGTACAAGTAATACTGCTGAAGAGGCGGCACCTAAGAGCCGCCGGGCTAATATTGCCGCCGCTGCTAAGATCCTACAACGTGATCTTGGCCTCAGCCCAGGCAGCGCCCACAGGAGAGCTCGTCAGGATGCTGCTAAGGCGGAAGCGGCCGCTAAGGTAGACGCCAGTAAGGAAAAGGAGAAGGAAAAGGAGAAGGTTCCATCTTCTGCAGCTCCGACTGCATCAAGTCAACCCTCTTCATCAGCACCTCCATCCGCCCCGACAGCCCCGAAAGCCCAAGCAACTGAAGGTTCACGTCGGTCTCGAGGTTCAAGGTCTTCTAAGCAGAGTGCAACTAGTGACGCAGCTAAGGGAAAGGCGGCTGATAACGCAGGCAGCACGACAAAGTCTACCCCGATGGTCACCCCAATTATCCTTAAAAGAAAAGACGATGCACCTCCGAGTAGCTCGGCCCCGGCTGCTCCGGCTACACCTGCTGCTCCTGCTGCTCCGGCCTCCTCGACTTCAACTCCCCCAACTGGACCCAAGGCTGCTGGCAAGGCCACATCATCCAACAAACCGGGCCCCTCACAGAAGAAAACGTCTAGTCAGCCATCAGTAACTGCCGGGGCGACACGGGCGTTTGTGAAGCACGCGAACCCTTCACAAGGCGTCACTGAGCCATTACTTAAACAGGCTATGGAAGCGTACGGGTCCGTTACATTTGTCGAAATTGACAAGCGGAAAGGCTTTGCATATGTTGACTTTGGGGATCATGATGGATTAGTCAAGGCTATTTCTGCAAGCCCTATTTCTGTCGCGCAAGGCACGGTGCAAGTACTGGAGAGAAAGGAGACCAAGAAGTCAACTCAGCCGCCAACACAACCAGCAAGCGATAAGACGAGTAATGAAACTCCACCAGATCGTCCCAAACGAGGTGGTCGCGGCAGAGGTCGTCGAGGAGGAGCTACTAATACTGGAAGTGCAAATCCAACAAATGAAGCAGCTGGATCTTCGGCGACGGCTCCCCCTCCGGCTGCCAATTCAAATAATGCCACGTCTTCCAATTAAAGATAATCACGTATCTAATATCACCATCTTTGCTTACCGCAACTTCCATGTACATAACGATTCATCGGTAGAAGACGGAGGGAGTCGGTCTATTCAGCGTTCTTTATAACATCGCCCTGAAAGTCCTTGTGTTTATGCCGGAGGGTAAGGCATGGCTACATAGGTTAGGTAGAGGTAGGTAATGAGTATTCCCAAGGACATGGTTCTATAGGGCAATACTCCTATGAGCAGCTTCGAGTGTTAAGTCGGAACGACTCTCGACATTTTTTAGGGGATTGTGCCTAGCTCTGAAGAAAGGGTCGTCAAATAAGCCTAAGTTACACTTAACGCCCATTATCTTACGTACACGGGATTATAAAGTTGCTAATTTCGCAGTGCCATCTCTTGTCGTCTGTATCCTTGTTAGCAGGGTTGGTATTATGATACTTGAATGAAAGCTGTGCGTTGAGGTAAACTTCTAGGGAAAAGTTATAGAACTGAACCATCCCTCCAGCGTTGAACCATTGCTGAATCGCATCCGCAGGGGAGTCTATCACCTGATATTCTTGTTGTATATTTAGTATGATAAATAGTACGTCTTTCTTAACGTGTGTCAATACCGGTATCATCAGCTATAACGAATCTATCAAAGCCTCAGTCATCAAGCGCTTGGTATAACATAGGATGGATATGGGCAGGTACGTCGTCAAGTTCGTTATGTGCCCTAAGGGCTGTTCAATGCGTGTTTCGTAGCTACCTTTGTTAAGCCACGATAGACTTACATCGTAACTCCTCTAGTTCTGCCTAGTTGGATCACAACTTTAAATGGCATGAGAAAATCCTTCATGACTTGCCGATTACCATGACGCATGAAAGGGGCAGTATTACGTCCAGACTGTGGAGCTCCGTGTGCTGCGAAATGCTGGCAGGCGAAACATGTCACTAAACACCGCTTACGGGACGATCTTTTCATGGACATGACCTTCACTACTGGCACCACGGCATCTGGCTCAAATCAGGAACTATTATTAGATAGACTACGCGAAAAAGCGACCCCCGTGTGTGAAGCCAGCACCTTATCTTCGCCCCTCCAAGCCTCCGCATAGCATCAGTACAGAGGCGAGCCTCTCGTAACGCGGAGAACCCGTACCTTGCATACGCCCCCCTATCGATCTTACTTCGGTCCCAATTCCTCAACCGACCCGATATGTGAGGTCAGCATCGAAGTCAGCATCGAAATTGGCCGATAAACCCACGCTTTGAGGGAAGACCGACTGCTTAAAGGACCTTGACTCTGTGAAGGCATTCCCCCACGTGTATTAATGGAACCCCGAGTCGTGATGGTTTCTGCAGATTCAACTCTTGGACGGAGGTATAATGAGATGTGTTGAGCGGATTAGGTAGATACCTGTATGACAGGTACTTGAGAATTGAATCCCCCTTTTTTTCACGGAGGACGCCAAGACGTACTAGTTGTGCATCGATTCTATTGGGGAGTCCGGATTGAAGCGCATCGTATAGTCTACCTCTTCGTAATAGCTTAGGAAAACTCGAGAATAAGTGTTGAGAGCGTACCTACCATAAAGCTCATTTTTTCGACTTAACTCGACTCCTACAAAATTGCCTCCAAACATAGATGTAACTGTAGGACTTAAGATTAGGTACTCGTTAGTTATGCAGGGCATCTTCAGCTTGGTATAAGACTCCCCATCAGTATAAGACTCTTTGTCTAGTGGAAGTTGCATGGCTATAGCGGGGTTACGCCTTGTTCTCGTCGGGGCTATCTCATTCACGATGCAAGGAATAACTACCTAATCTAACCTACCCCAATACATCTTCCTCCACGCCGGGAAATCGTGCCAATGCAGAGCCTGCAACCCCGCGCCAGTAGCGGCAATTACCATGATCTAGATCTACCACGCGCTCACAGTTCCATGGATGTCTAACAAGAGTTGCAGTAGCCAAGCATAAGAAGTCGGATTATCTGCCATATATGGTATAGATGCCTTCTTTTGGGTATGCAGTCACTTCCTCATTCCCATTTTTTCCCTTCCTCCTCTCCTCAATTAAGATACCAGGTCGGTAGCATGTCTTTCAATGTGACTGTAACATTGCACCAGATGCTTACTGAAGTAGGCCACCCAAAATCAACTCCCCTCGTATGACCACAATTCTCAAGGGCTATCATGTCCTTTGCACGCATTTCTCGCTACCTTAGATTAGGTAGGCTAAGTACCTAGGCCGATATCCAACTCCGTACGCCGAAATACTATTATGAACTTGGTGACGAAAAATGCGTTCAACTAGCTACCAGTAAAAAAGGTAGGTACCTATAGTTATTAGATCACCAAGACGCTCGCATGGCTCGACAAGTACTTCTGACTCTCGCTCCTGAAATCGTCCGCAAGCAGGTTGCTCCTGTTGTTCCAGAACTGCATGAGCTGGCGGCTCTCCTTCCACTGGGGCCAGGGGGCGAAGTCGGCGCCCGCGCCCGTGCCGCCGTTGGGGTCCATCGTGTGCACGAACGAGATGTAGTAGCTCTGGATCGCCCGGCTCGCGTAGTTGGGCAGCACCCCGTAGAACACCTGCAGGATGTCCGACGCGTGGAACGTGCCCAGGACCGGCGTCCCGCGGTCGTACGACGAGAGGTACGACCACGCCGGCACCCCCGGGTTCGCCGCCAGCGCCGACTCCAGGAAGATCCGCCGCGTGAGCGTGAACACGATGTCCCCCAGGATCGCCGCCAGCCGCTTGAATTGCGGGTATATGTTGTTGAAATCGCCCGTGTTGAAAGGACTGCCGGCGGCGACGGATGAATCGTATGTGTTGACGAGGCCCACGATATCGTCCCTCGTCACATCGGGGAAGAGCACTTTCCAGATGTAGTCGACGAGCTTGTCGGTAGTTGTAATGTTGGGCTGGAACAAGCTAAAAAGCGTCCCTTCGTCTTCTTGGTCCCCTATAATCATAGGCACGGCGGCGTATTTACCGCCGAGGGCGAGGACGTCGGGACTATCGGTCAAAACAACGCCATCCGGTCGCGGGAGGTACGACAAGGAGACAGATGTGTAGCCCAGAATGCCAGGGACACTGTTCGCGGCATTCAGGAACGTCTTGTAGTCGGCATCCCGCAGACACCCGAGCGTATCCTTGGCTGCGGCGCAGCCTGCCGCTTTCACTACGGTATTGTACGTATCTTGGCAGCGGCCGCAGTCTACCGGCTGGGCTGGGACCACGCTCCCGCTATTCATAATAGCCGCGCGGAACAGCTTCTTCCCTTTATAAGTGTTGTTGCCGTTGTACAGAGCCATCTGATCGAACACGGAGATAGCCCCGGCCGATTCGCCCCAGATGGTCACCTTTTCGGGGTCGCCGCCGAACAGCGCAATGTTGTCCTGAACCCATTCCAAGCCCATGCGCTGGTCCAGGAGCCCCAGATTCGCCGCCCCGTCGGCAAGGACCTCTTTCCCGGGCATGAACCCGAACCCGCCGACGCGGTAGTTCACGGAGACGAATATGAAGGGTTTCCCCTGGCTCACGCCGTTGGAAACCAGCGAGGAGGCGTCGTACATTTGCGGGCTGCCGAGCTCGAACCCGCCGCCGAATATCCAGAAGAGGACGGGCAGTTTGGCGTCGGCCTTGGTGCCCTTGGGCCGCTGGACCCTCATCGTCAAGCAGTCCTCGGTCTGGCCGGTGACGGTCTGGAAGAGCGGCGTGTTGATGAGGTTGCCGAGCACGGCCGTGATGAGGTCGCCCTCGGTCGAGAAGAACATCTGCGGGCACGAAGGGCCGGCTCCGGTGGCGTCGAATGTGCCGAGAGAAGAGGTGAGCCTCTGCGGCGGCTTGAGGCGCAACTTCCCCACCGGAGCTTGCGCGAAGGGAATGCCGCCGTAGTTTTCGACATTGTTGGAGACGGAGCCCACAATAGTCCCTTGCGGTATGACCACCGAGGTCTTCGCGGCTCGCTCTTCCAAGGTCGGGCTCGGTGCCGGGAAGGCGGCGGCCAGGCTGGCGAGCACAGTGGCAGATAATAGAGAAGTGAATACCTTATACATGGTGGGTGGGTAGTGGCCCGCCAGAGGAGAGGAGAGGGACTGGAAGGGGACTGAAGGAATAGTTGTCCCTTTCCTTAATTGGTATTGCGAACTGGGGAGAGACTTGTTTAGAGACAAAAGTCTCAAAGTGACTCCTGGAAGGCATGTTAATTTTATATTGACTCTCTTGCCAGGGTGACATGTCAATTCTAGCGTTAAAGGGATGGCCTAACTCAGGACCATCCGCAACATTAGCCCTTCGTTTACTGTTTCTGATCCAGGTGACCAGCGTGGGAAAAGAAATTTTGATTCCCCATCGGACCAAGTGCCCGATTTGAATTTACACATCTTTACCCGATTCCGCAGGTGCTCCAAAGTTTAGGTAGGTAAGCTCTTATAAACGCGCGCTGCGGAAAAGAAATCCGAATAAGAATCTCTTAACTCGTTCTCTTCCCCACGGGGTAAGTATGCCGCCTTTGGAACCCTTCCGGTGTCGAGAAGCTTAGCCATGCATAATACAGAGCTGAAAATGGCATAATCTAAATACTCTTTGGGCGAACACCCCCGACACCATGTGAAGCCTACACCGTAGAATTTCTGTTCCTGGCTGCTAGTGCAATCGAGGCACAGCTTCCATGCAATATATCGGCGCGATTACTCCTAGATTTGAGCGCCTGACTATTTGTGAACAGCTTGGTAAGTGGTGTACGGTGTGAGAGCAACCAATAATGGATGACCCCATTGACGCCGATGGCGTATTGGCACACGAATAGTCTATCAGACGGGGGTGTATATACGTGGTTATGGTTGGCTGGATCCTCCAGTAGATTCGAAATGACAGGTAAGTACCCCCTACCCGTAGTGCCCAGCGTGTTTGAAATAGTTACGTGGTTAGACTATCGGGGTAGTTTAAGAGTTGATCATAAAACCACGATCCAAAGCTGATCCAATGACGACATCACATTACCCCAGGAAAAGCCCCGCCATAGTTTGTGGGGGGTGGGATTGGCAGATGTGATTGTAGCAATGTAGGCCCGAAATCAATTCTGTAGCAAAGCGTTGGGCTAAAGAAGCCAGGCTGCCACGCAGCCAGGCAGTCTTTTGCGGGGTAACAAGGGGATGCTGACGATGTCCCTGTCAAAGGATCTCTCCTATGCGAAATAAGGGGTTTGGCAGTTGTCCTATTAGTAAAAATCCAATGTACGGACAAAGGCAGCAATGACGATGACCAATCAAGATCTGCTCCGTGATAATAAGAATTGGAATAATCATAATCATAATAATAATTCAGCATTCGGTGTCGGTTTCTATACGAACAGCAATTTGCGACTTTCCTAAACCAGACGTCAGCCTCTCTGTGTCCGCATTGGGATCTACATGGCCGCGTCCATGTCTTTAGCAAACCTTTTTGCTAGGTCTTCTTTTGCATATAAGTAAAGGAACCCGTTTACCTTTATGTTAGGTATTATTTATACTGTAAGAGGCGCCTTAGCTAAGAGGTATGAATCGATGGAATACGAGGACCTAGATGGACACCTAAGGTTGAGTACCTAAGGTAAGTTTATAAGGATATCAGCTCATGCTCTCATACATATTATCTCTTCCAAAACGCTTTCTTGAGGGTTATAGTCGAATAATTGTTTCCGCTAATATATTCATAAAGTCAGACGCTTTGCCTACCTACCTGTCTTACCTATCTACCTACCTAAGGTAAGGTACCTGGTATCCGACTCCCTCGCTATATAAGGGCGAAGCATTCATGTTGTAACAGAAGATACGTTATCCCGCATGGCTAGCCAAAACCCCATTGGGCGATATTCCGCGTATACTATTCCGTGTATACCTGCCTGAAGTACCTTGCCTGGGGTTCATTCGCCAATTCCGAAATTGAACCCCGGTTGGTGGCTAGTAACTGAAAACCCGTTCTTATAAAATTTGACTTGAAAGTCCAAATCGCCATCTTCCAAAGAATCGCGCCAGCCAAATTCCTTCAAGTCAAACCGCTCTCCGATACGTGATCTGAACTGTCGGTCATAGATATCAAACTCGACGAAATTATCATGCTGGTATGACCTGATAGACTGTATTAGAGGGTGGTATTTTCGTTGACAAAACCCAATGATATCACGGCGGTATGGTAAGACCTTTTCTATGTCGACCTTTACGTCAATAGGGTTTTCGTACTTGAGTTTGAAAGGAATTTCAAGTTGAAAGGTACGTATGTGCTTCGAATCCTCGAATTCATAGACCATTCGTTTGACAAGAGCGTTGAAAAAAGTGACGAGAAAGGCGTTGGAGCGTCCACTTTCACGCTGAAGATCGATGTGGCCGGAAGCTAGGAAAAGAGTATTACTACATGTAGGATGGAAAAAAATACGAAGGTTCAATTTCCATGCTCTTAACGACTCTCCATGGAGTCCATGCATTTGGTGCAGAGGAGCCGTTGCCAATTTCGACAGGATGCCGCCAAATTTCCATAAATAGGCCTCCCCATTATCGAGTACTATACCAACTCGTAATCCTTCTGTTGTAGCATACTTGACGGGACTAGGTAATTTCTTTCCCAGAGGAGCGTTCGCTACGTGATCCCATGCGACTCTATTCAATTGAGTTAATCAAAAGGACGATGGCTAACTCTGGATACCCTTACATAGAACGATGCACGGCACCGACCACGAGTCTATCCCCAAGGGCAAGAATATGGAAATGTGGGCGAATGGGAAGAACTCCTGGCAGCTTGAACATCTTCCGCGTCCGTTCCCATAAGTTGTCGACTACCACGACGTGTTGTTTAGCGTGCCATGCTATCATGCCATGAAAATACAAGGCAGTCGAGTACGAATGCTCATATATCTCGGGGCCATCGTCAGACAAGCCGAATTGTGCGTATACGGCGGACACATTATGATTACTGCCAAGATGCATAGGGTCCAGCTTGAAATATGATTCATGTTCCTAACAGAATAGCTTGGATAGAGAGGCCTGGAAATATCCCCAACGCGCTCGTACTCGCCTGTGAAGAGCATCTAAGTAAATTTTCGAATCATATTGATCGGGGGAAAGCGTTAAAGAAGGACAGAACCTGTCTGTAACAGTGTACAGCACGGCGGGAGATAGAAGCTTGCTGCGCCATTGTCTGGATACGGTGAGACAGAACACAAACTCGGGCAGTTCGAGCAGCAGTGCAATTTGCCTGACTAGTTCCAATGGAAGGTCGCCGATAGGATCTATATGGATCTTAGAAAGGATGATTTTCATATAGCGACATTCCTCTCTAGTCAGTGTGCCACTAGAGAAGAGTAGACGTAGCTTCGTGAATCGTTCCTGGGGAACATCTGCTGCTCCGAACGATAAGTGCGTGGAATCCATTGATAGATAGTGAGCTCGGGTTGGATAAAGTTTGCCTCATGGATGCCTAAACAAAAATCAATATAGCTAAAAACTGTCTTGGTCCTAATTCTGTCTGTTTTCGTTTACTGTTTCGAGACCCATCCGCGTGATGTATGGCGGCTGTGGATGATTTAAGAGTTCTTGATGTTTCTAGGAAACGAGCTGAGGATGCAGAACTTGCATGGCTCCCTACTTCGTAAATATACCTACCTTTTAAACATATTGTCAAAGAAGACGCGTTCTCTTTCTATTCCGATACTACCGTCCTTGAAGTATAAGTACCTTAGGTATGTATGCACTTAGGAAAGTATGGCTCCGTCATAAAATGCAGTCACTCTTTCACTCTTCTCATATGTTGTACTTGATGTTGTCAGGAGGTAACCAACAAGGAAGTGCGAACAACTTTTTGTTGTGGCAGATGTATGTTACATGTATGTACCCAACTCGTAGCCGCCACTTGTTGATAGTTGTGGCTGGATTTTTATGGCGTAAGCGTCGTTTCACCTAAGTACATGTAGAAGGAGCAAGCAATGTATTGTGCCTATGTACATGAATCGCGGGTGCCCACCCCTCCAATTTCCAAATACCTGTATGTATCCTTTGCATTGTAATTGCAATACAATACCTACTATAACCGCCCATAGGTAAGGTACATTCCTCACCTAGGGCGTTGGACCAAAAAAAGAAGAAAAAAAGCAGTAGAAACCTGTGACGGGCTACGGCATTCCTCACACTAATTTTGAGCTGACTGTCGACCACCTCCTACCTGTATCTACCCATATCTACCTAAACCACCTAAACCTGCTAAACTTAACATACCATAGTATCAGGGTGCATGTGGGCTTTGCAGGGTCCTAATTACATATGTAGTGGTTATTACGAAGTGGTTCTCTTTTTTATTTATTCATTCATTCATCTGCCACCTTCGATAGCCCTCTCTTTCACATTTTCCAATAAATTCCACTACAGCGAGGTAAGTCATACCACCACCACTACCACCACCAATAGTTCTTTTTTTTATTTTGTCATTTTTTATTTAACAATTGACTAACGATCTTTCTTCTGCTAGGCATCTTTCTGTTATTTCAATTCGCCTCTCTACCCTTCTTTGCGTTTTCTCCTTATAATCGAGTCGGTTGTCTTTTCTTCTTCTTTTTTTTGCTCTCTCTCATCCATCTTGTCTATACCTACATAACTTTTTAGTTGTATTGGAGATAGAGGGATAACGTAGAGGACCCCTCCTCCTCTTCCTCCTTCAGTCGCTATGGCTGGCCCCGCGTCTCCCAACGAAGGTCCTACGTTCGAACCACCCCAACTCCCTCCCGGATGGATAGCTCAGTGGGATGGTGCAAGCAAAAAATATTACTACGTTCAACTCTCGACAGGTGTTTCCCAATGGGAGACCCCAACGCAAGCTGCGCCGGGAAACACGCCTGCTCAAGTCAATGAGCACCCGTACGGAATACCTGGCCAACAAGAACTCATTACACACCCGGATGGCACACAAACTGTGAAACATCCAGACGGCCGTATGGAACCCGTATTGCCGACCGAGAATACTCGAGGATTCGATGGGCCGTCTGGCGACAGGGGACTCGGTGTGAGTGTGCATGTCCTAACGGATTTTGCATTCTAGGATTAAGATCGCTAATGCGACGTCTAATTACAGAGTTTTGCAGCCAACACGTTACTTAGTCAGTTCTCGGGAGGCCATGGAAAGCCGCAGAGCGGTAGTAGTCATGGATCAAGTGGCCTTGGAGGTCTTGCTGGCCAACTAATTGGCGGCCTCAGCGGGAGCCACGGTAGCAGCCACGGAAGTTCTTCTGGTGGACATAGCGGAGGTGTTCCTAGCCAGCTCGTTGGTCAACTTGCATCAAACCTATTTTCCTCCGGCAGCAAGCCTCAGAAACCGCAGGATTATCATGGAGGACAGTCGCACCAACCACAGTCCTCAGGCGGTCACTCAGGAGGGCACTCGGGTGGCCTTGCTGGCTCTGTGATGGGAGGTGTTGCAAATATATTCGGGGGAGCGCATCAACCAGTACGTCGTCATATTTTATTGCAAAGGCGAGACGACTTTAGACTCGGCTTGACTAATGCGTTGTATAGGGTCAGAACTATGGTTATTCGAATTCGGGCCATGCAGGCGGATACAATGGCCAGGCTCCTCCGACGTCTTATCAACCCCCGAGTGCATCAACGCCGGCGTATAGCGCTCCGTCTCATCAACAGAGCTCTCCTTCATATCACGCTCCTTCTGGTCAACATGGAACACCACAATATCCCCCTCCACCTGGCCAGCATGCCGCAACGTCATATCCTCCGCCTCCCGGCCAGGTGGTAGGACACCAAAATCCCTCTTACCATAGCCCGCCGCCTACTTCGCAGCATCAAAACCCATCTTATGGTGGTGGCCCACCTTCGGCCCATTCAAGTTATGGACATAGTCCAACCCCTCAAGCAAATATCTATTGTAAGTAGCTCTTCTTTGAATTTTGCTTTTGGCTTAATTAACGCGTTGACCAGCACAACAACCACAATACACGTCACCACCGCCACATCAACCCCCATACAGCAGCCACCAACAGTACCCCCCGCCTCCGTCCACATATGGTAATCGACCGTACAATGTGTCACCTCCATCTTCGGGCCCCCATGGGTACGCGGGACAACCCTCATATGCAAATGCTGGACCGCCAGTTCCTTCAGGGACACATCCCCATGCTCAGTCTGGATATCCAGGTACTTGGTAACAGGAAAGTTTTAAGTTGCCATTTGCATTGGCAAATTTTCAGGCATATTTATAATAGACCGTCGAGTTTATTCGACCTTTGGAAAATTTCCATATTCATTATGCTAAGAGAAATCCCACTTTGTCATTGGTCCATGGTGGTTTATAACATAAATTAAGTTACGGTCAAGACGAAGACGATGCTGCGATCATGCTCGCTTGGGGATGTAATTAGAGCACTACCGCGAACGCGTATTACGAGTTATGATAATTAGGATTAGGTGATGCTCTCGTTTGGATATAGAAGGCAAATAACAGAGGTTATGACTAAAGCCTCTACCCTTTACCGCTTCACTGAATTTTCTTCTCAGGAGTTGTTTCTGCTGCTAGGTTGCGAATCCGTATTGAGACATATCGTGCGATAAACCACGATGCGATGGCTACTACGATAATATAGCCCACGGTTGGCAACAGTGAATGAGGAAGTAAACCCAAGACGAAGGGATCGAGGATGATGTCCACATGAACCGGCGGGACATTTCTCATCAGCGTGTTGTTCATTGTGTAGTAATCTGCTGCTGCTAGAATCTGGAGGAACAGGACAGACGTCTCTTTCTCAGATCTTAGCTCCTGGGTATCTCCCATGGACCTAGATTGAGATTCAGAACTATCAGCCGACTTGCGGGACTGTGAATACTCTAACAATTCGGATAATAGTTCTGGTGCATCTAGGAGGGCTTGGGATTCATAGGTAGCGACTTTGAACTCGGTAGGTTGCTAAGAACTAGTAAGCTTCTCCTGGCCGAAATACGCTGGATCATTACATGGGGTGTTTTTATTTATTTATTTTAATACTCACAGTTGCAGCCCAGCAGACTCTCACTTCGTACCGCTCCCCCTCAGTCAGGTTATCTAGAATGAGCCAAGTAGCTTTGCCATGCGGCGACGAGGCAGTGGGAAATTGGGCCTCGACATGGGTTCGTATCGCCCCATTAGTAGGTGTGAGGGCATCGACGTGTAAGTCGGCCAGGGTGGGATGTGAAAAGGGGATAGTAGCTTTGGGTGGTCCTAAGAAGATTGCCTTTTCGGTATTGGCATATACAGCCGTAATGAATGGATATAATAATATGATGAGAAGATTTATTGACATTATGATAAAAAAAAGTTATTATGAACTATTACCTAAGGTATGAACTCAATAAAAGGAGTACTAGCAGTAGTAGCAGTAGCAATAGCAGTTTGTGAATTTGCTTAGTTCAGTTGTGCAGTAGTACGGGTTCAGTTGTATTTGGTATGAAATTTAAATTAGGCCAACCGTTAATGAAGATCCGATTTTGGTTGATTTGGTATTTGGTTGATTATATTGGGCAATTGCCAAATGCGTGACTACCTAACCGCTAAGCTCTGTTTGTCAAGGTTTGTCATCTGCGAACACTGGCCCGTGGGGACCTGTGTAATACATAGTACATAGCTCCTACGTAGCTGTAATAGCCGACCCCTTGTCTCCTTTTTGGGTAACGACGTGGTCTGTGTGCCTTCCCGAAGACCCCGAGTTCTAATCCGACCAATCTAGGCAGCCTCGTAAGAAAAAAATAAAATAAAAAAAAACTGAGCTAGGCCGTGGCTGGCTACTTTGGCCATGTCAACATTGGAACCATTAGCCCATTAGCCCCATTGGAGCATTGGAACACTTAATTGCTCCCAACCAGGGGTGAATTTTTAATCCGCCCCCCACTTGAACTTTTAGTTACTTAGGTAAAAAACGACCCGTCCAAAGCATCAACAAGAACTCCTTTTGACTCGATCTCAAACTCTCTCCTAACAATCCCATCCCACTCAACTATCCTGCAAAGGGGCTGCTTTTTCAAAACCTGCCCGCTCTCGATTTTTTGTTCTCTCGTTTCCCTTTAATACAGATTTTGCATTGTATCTGCCTTCAAGATGCGTGAGATCATTAGCATCAACGGTATGTTTTCATATTTTCCCCCTCGATACCACCCACGCGTTTTCCTTCACCGCATGATCCATGTTCCCCTTTATTGAAGCATCATTTTTGAACTTGGGATTTTGTAAAAGCGTTTATACTGACTGCTTATTCTGTATATAGTCGGCCAGGCGGGTTGCCAGATTGCCAACTCTTGCTGGGAGGTAAGTCTATTGTCTGCGCGGGACCTCGATGTCGCATACGAAATTCAGACCTCGATAGCCCCCTGTCGCGAAATTGACTCGAGATGGAAACAAAAACTAACTTGCTTTTTTAGCTCTACTGCCTTGAGCACGGCATTCAGGTATGTTGATACGAAATCTAGTACACCAGCTTCTAACTAACATCTATCGTGTAGCCCGATGGATACCTGACCGAAGAGCGCAAGAAGGCGGACCCTGACCAGGGATTCAGCACCTTCTTCTCCGAAACCGGTATGTTTAATGTTCTCTTGATGATAAGAATTGTTCTAACTAGTTGAACTCTGCTCTATAGGTCAGGGAAAGTATGTTCCTCGTACCATCTACTGCGATCTCGAGCCCAACGTCGTCGATGAGGTCCGAACTGGTACCTACCGCAGCCTTTTCCACCCCGAGCAGATGATCACCGGCAAGGAGGATGCGTCCAACAACTACGCTCGTGGTCACTACACTGTGGGCAAGGAGCTCATTGACCAGGTTTTGGACAGAGTGCGACGTGTTGCCGACAGCTGTGCTGGTCTCCAAGGTTTCTTGGTCTTCCACTCCTTCGGTGGTGGTACTGGCTCTGGTTTCGGTGCCTTGTTGATGGAGCGTCTGTCCGTCGACTATGGTAAGAAGAGCAAGCTTGAGTTCTGTGTCTACCCTGCTCCTCAAACTGCTACTTCGGTCGTTGAGCCCTACAACTCTATCCTTACCACACACACCACGCTTGAGCATTCCGACTGCTCCTTTATGGTCGACAACGAAGCTATCTACGATATCTGCCGCCGGAATCTTGGTCTGGAGCGTCCCAACTTCGAAAACCTGAACCGCTTGATCGCCCAAGGTATGAAATAACCCATCTATTTTCTGTATTGCTAGCAGCTAACGCGATTTAGTTGTGTCTTCCATCACGGCTTCTCTTCGATTCGATGGCTCTCTCAACGTCGATCTTAACGAGTTCCAGACCAATCTGGTCCCGTACCCTCGTATCCACTTCCCTCTAGTTGCTTACTCGCCAGTCATCTCAGCTGCCAAGGCCGCCCACGAGGCCAACTCCGTTCAAGAGATGACAATGTCGTGCTTTGAGCCGTACAACCAGATGGTCAAGTGCGACCCCCGCCATGGCAAATACATGGCTACCTGCCTTCTGTACCGAGGTGATGTCGTCCCTAGGGACGCTCACGCCGCCGTGGCTACGCTTAAGACCAAGCGTACCATCCAATTCGTCGACTGGTGCCCAACTGGATTCAAGATTGGTATCTGCTTCCAGCCTCCTCAGTTTGTTCCCGACGGTGATTTGGCCAAGGTTAACCGTGCCGTCTGCATGCTTTCGAACACAACGGCTATCGCTGAGGCTTGGTCAGCTTTGTCGACCAAGTTTGACCTTATGTACTCCAAGCGCGCTTTCGTTCACTGGTATGTTGGTGAGGGTATGGAGGAAGGCGAGTTCTCCGAGGCCCGTGAGGATTTGGCAGCTCTAGAGCGCGACTACGAGGAGGTGGCCACCGACTCCCTAGACGCCGAGGGAGATGCTGAGGCTGAGTACTAGATTTGAGGTTACTCAGGCTACGTGTCACGACCAAAGGGCATCTAATATTCTACTCCCCCCCTCCGTCCTGTCTGACCGAGGCCTGCCGCAATAGCACCCTATTATACTGAAAGCCTATGAAGAGTGCCAGTTATACTTGTGTGGCGGAGAAACGTGGTCCTGTCCGTAGGAGTAGCAGTGGAGAGACAGCAGGGAGGCTTTTAATTCGATTGTGAGCCTGGTAGCAAGATTAGTATACACTTTGTACATCCGTCCTACAACTTTTAATAGCAAAAGTTCACTCGGGTATTCCCCCAAGTGCCTTCGATACCAAAACCAGGAAAAGACGTGATTGATTTTATCTATCATTTTATGCAGCTTCGTTTTCGTGTCTCTTGGTATATTATAGGTACCTATGCAGTGTGACATGCCCCGGGCCAACAAATAAGAAGACGGCCTACTAACAATGCCACTCTACATGATGGCCACCTTTCACGCTATCCGCGGTTGAAGCACCTCGTTAGCCAATTGTGACTCCTCTCCCGTATGCAGCTTGCAGCTCGCAGTGACATGCATCTCTAACGGTCCCCTAAAAACAACGGGATCCATAGTGCTCTCTTGTACGTCTTTACGTCTGGTTACAGGATGAATGGCCGCCTTCAGATGTACTGTACCCGGCAGCTAAGATGGAGAAGGGAATTGGAAAGGGGGAGATTCATGTCTTGTCCTTGCCCACTACCTATGTAAAGAGCTATATTTAATCCCTTTTATTTGTACATTCGGTTGGTTTCTTTCAAGAAATAAAATTAATACCTACCTCATAGTTAGGTATGTTCTCATTTTATAAAATATCAGTGCTTTTAAATTAAATCATACCTTTACCGCGTTAATTAGACAGTATGGAACCGCGGGAAAGACACTAATAAATGTCTAATGCTCTGCAATGTATATGTACGTTGGGTTATGTAATGCGAGAGATATACATATGTGTACCCGGGACCCCGGAGCTTTGAAGACTCAAGAGTCAAGAGAACTAAACTAAAAGTGGCCCCCCCTCCCCCCCGCCTACGTTAGGTACCTAGGTACAATACAATACCTAGTCCCTTAGGTAGGAGAGGTAGGGGCTGTAGGGGCTGTCAAGGTTACCCTGTACAATACCTCAGAGAAGTAAGACTAGTAAGGTTGACAACTTCCAGCCTCCTTAGGAAAAAGCGTAGTTGGAGACGGTACCTAAACCACAAAACATTTCCCAACTTCATCACTTACTTAGGTACCTACCTTACCCTTCCTTTTGCCAAACAAGGTCATATCTCCGACCGCTTCTTATTGCTGAAGCTGTATACTACATGCTTCTTTTTTTTCTATTCGAAAGCGATTTTATTTCAACTCTAACGCATCCTTAATTGACTTTTCCTGTGCGCCCGAATCATTGTTCGACATCTTCAAACGCCGAGCTCTTCCACAAATCGAAGCCTGAGTGAGGCCTCGGCTGCGCAATAATGTCTGCCGATCCCAGCGTTGATGCCGGTAAGTCGCGGGAACTCCTATTCTGTCTACATGCTGGCGTGCATTTATGTATTATTGATGGCATTTCCCTACGTATCTCTATAAGTGACGCTGTGGAACTAATGTTATATCGTCCCAACCAACAGCCGCGCCGGCGCTTAACCTGACCCCCGAAGAAAAGCGAGTATACGGTCAACTCTTCCGACAAGCAGACACCGATAATGTCGGCGTTGTGACGGGCGAAGTAGCTGTGAAATTCTTCGAAAAGACAAGGTTGGACTCGCGCATTCTTGGTGAGGTAAGTTTCACTACCCTTCTATCATCTCCCTTAGTGTAAGAGCATGCTAATTTATTTTTCAACACTGGCAGATCTGGCAAATAGCAGATAAGGAGAATCGTGGCTTTTTAACACCTGCCGGCTTTGGATTCGTCTTGCGACTCATCGGTCATGCTCAAGCCGGACGAGAACCGACACCTGAACTCGCTCTTCAGCAAGGCCCCTTACCGCGGTTCGAAGGAATTAACATCAATGCCAATGTCCCCCCAGCTCAACCACCTATACAGGCACAGGGGACAGGTAATACCCCTATACGGATACCACCTCTGACGCCTGAGAAGGTTGCCCAATATGCTGGACTATTCGAGAGACAAAATTTGCAGAATGGTGGCATACTACCTGGTGATCAGGCAAAGAATATATTCGAGAAGTCAGGCCTGCCCAACGAAGTTCTAGGACGCATCTGGCAGCTTGCCGATACGGAGCAAAGGGGAGCACTTGTACTGACCGAATTTGTAATTGCCATGCATCTTCTCACTTCTATGAAGACTGGTGCTCTAAGAGGTCTCCCGAATATTTTACCTGCCGCGCTCTACGAAGCTGCTACGAGACGCGGCTCGGCATCGGGACGGAGCCCAACAACCGCAATCCCGCCTGTACCCGCTATACCACGACAACTGAGCGGACAGGCGCACTTACGGACGACAAGCCCTCTAGGAAGACCACCTCTAGGTCCTCAGCCTACAGGCGTAGCCCCGCAAACGACTGGAAGTGATTGGTTGATCACGCCTGCTGACAAGGCAAGATTCGATCAGTTTTACGCCGATCTAGATAAGACGAACAAGGGATACATCACTGGCGAGGAAGCTGTGCCGTTTCTGAGTCAATCTAGCTTGGCCGAGGATGCGTTGGCCCAGATTTGGGATCTTGCAGACATCAATTCGGAAGGTCGGTTGACACGAGATACGTTTGCGGTTGCTATGCACCTCATCCGTCAACAGCGAAGCAGGCGAGATATGCCACTGCCTACGACCCTTCCTCCGAACCTCATCCCCCCTTCTATGCGAAACCAGCCGCCTCGTCCTCCAATCGGCCCGTCCCCGTTCGATGCCCCAGGTTCACCGACGCAGCTACCGCCTCGACCCCAGCAGATACCTCAACCTATACCTCAGCCGATAGCTCAGCCGAAATCTGCCATTGATGATCTATTTGGTCTTGATGCCTCGCCTAGCCCCGCTCCACCCCAAGTTCCTGTTTCGACAGGAGGCTCAGCAACGAGGGATCCATTCGCTAGCGGACCACCAGCTTCGCCGCTCCGGGCTTCCCCTACTGGTAATACATTCAGGCCCTTTGTTCCGTCCTCTTCCTTCGGCAAAACTTTGACTTCTCACGATACCGGTGGTTCGACCGGTTCGGCTGCAAGGGCACCTGCTCCTCCTGTCTCCGCTATGGACGATCTCCTTGGAGACAACGATCCGGAAATCAGCAAGAAGCTCACAAACGAGACGGCAGAGCTAGCCAACCTATCCAACCAAGTTGGTTCCTTGTCAAAGCAGATGCAACAGGTACAAGGACAACGTAGCTCGACGCAAAACGAGATCAGCCAGGCAAGCGAGCAGAAGAAGAACTTTGAACAACGCCTGTCTCAACTACGCGCATTATACGAGAAGGAAGCCCAAGACGTCCGTACTCTAGAAGAACAACTTCGAAAGGTACGCGAAGAGACCAAAAAGCTTACGAACGAGTTGATTGTAATCGACGGCACCTACAAGGACTTGCAGACCCAGCACCAGCAAGTCGCTCAAGCTCTTCAGGCTGATCAGCAAGAAAATGCGGCTCTTAAGCAGCGGATCAGCTCTGTCAATACCGAAATTGCGCAATTAAAACCGCAACTAGAAAAGTTGAGATTAGAAGCTCGACAGCAAAAGGGAATGGTTGCTATTAACAAGAAGCAGCTTTCCACGGTCGAGGGCGACCGGGACAAGCTGAAGAGCGAAATGGAGGATCTTACAAAGAGCAATGAAGAGCTGTCCCGTCAGATTAATAGCAGCTCGCCGGTGGCAACCTCTACTCAGGTTGCTAGTCCAGCTCCGTCGACTGCCAGTGCTAATAATCCGTTCTTCAGGCGGACCGGGAGTACAGACATAATGGGCACATTTACTTCGCCTCCTGTTAAGCCGTACGGCGAAAAGTCCTTCAACGACATCTTTGGTGATTTCGGGTCCGAGAGCACTTCATCACCTCCGATAACTTCGTTTAAGCACCAGGATACCGGTGGCTCTACAGCTAGCATAGGATCTTTTGCTACACCGACCAGTTCCACGCCCACCGTGAGTCCCCATTCCACCCCCGCACCCGAGCCCCCCGTCTCAACTGAGTTGTAGCAGCCCAACGCGAGTCTCGCACCGTTCGGTGAGACGTCCGAGACTCTATCACCTTCGCGACAAGTTTCTCCCCCTGTTAGCAGGTCTGGTGACAGCGTCGCAACTCCCTCTGCCTCGACTTCTACTCCTGCTCCGTTGGAGCCCGCGTCTACTGGTCAGAGTTTCGCCTCGGCATCGGATACCAACCAAAGATGGTCCCCTACACAAACCGAAGAGAAATTCAAGGGCCCTAACGAAGGGTCTATTCCCGGCTCGTTTCCTGACGAGACCCCCACAGCTCCTGCTCCCACCACGCCTTATGCTAGCAACAGGGACAGTGACCTATTTGTGAACATGAAAAATTCTGGTGATGCAAAGGTAGATTTCGATTCCGCTTTTGCAAGCATGGCCAGCACCTCGGGCAAGCCTCAGGACAAGTCTACCAAAGATAGTTACAAGGCATTCTCGACATTTAGCTCAGAATTCCCTCCTATTTCCGAGCTTGAGAGAGACGATGAATCGGACTCTGCCAGCGAGGGAAACCGATTTGACGATGATTTCGCGCCCGCATCTCCCCCCGACAAAAAGACCGAAGCCAAGGAGCCCCAAGCCCCGGCTTCTCCCGCAGCTTCAAAATCAAGCACTGCCGTAACCGACGGCCCGGCCGCAGAGACGGCATCTCACGCCTCCCACCCTTCTAAGTATGACTTCTAATCTCTCGTGTATTAACTCTTGAAGTCTTTCGCGATGGCGCTAATACCAGACAAAGTGAATTACCAAATTTCCCTGAGCCGCCGAGAGCCTCTCCCTCATTCTCTTCCCCGTCGGGGGCTGGAGAATCATTCACCCCTACTCCAACTACAGTAATAAATGCAACAGCCACCGCACCTAAGAACGCCTTCGATGACCCAGATGATGACTTCGCCGATCTCGAAGACGCCAAAGAGGGTTCAGCAGATGACGAGTTTGCTAACCTATCTAGATCGAATCTCGATGATTTCAACCCTGTATTTGACAGCAGCCCGCCGCCAAGCCAGCCGAAGAGCGAATCGACTAACGTTTCAAACGCATTTGGTATTGACAGCAGCTATGATTTCGGCACGGTCTCATCTACATCGGCTGCTACTGCTGGTGCCGGTCCAACTAACAATACAAACGCCCCTTCTTTCCCCGGTCAAGTTCCCGCAGCGCCAAACAACCAAGATTGGGAGGCACTTTTCTCTGGCTTCGACTCGCCAAGCGACGTACCTACCAAGAACAACGAAGAAAACAAGAGCCCTGTTCAAAGTCAGAGCTCGGGCAGACCCAGTACTGCAGGAAGAGCATTGAGTGACGAAGGAAAGCACGATGATCCCATCGTCAAGAACCTCACTGGCATGGGTTACTCGAGAACGGAGGCTGTGAACGCTCTAGAGAAGTACGATTATAATTTGGAACGGGTAAGCTGATTTTTCGCCAACGTTTTACGTGGAATCGGGGGACACTAATTCAATCCTTAGGCTGCGAATCACCTCGCTAACCAGTCCTAAAACCTAGGTCTAGCATACCAAATCCCCATCTTGAGACAGAAGATTAATGATTATTTGTTTTGATTCGTGAGATACCTCATTTGTATAGGCGCCGAGCATGTAGGACCTTTGGAAGTTTGCGCAAACGAACTGGAAGCTGAATTGCGAAGCTCAATAAGGAAGAGCCAACAAGGCCTTGCAAGTTTGACCCAAAAAAAAGGCCAATGATTAATGTATAGTTCTGTATGTAATTCTTTGTCGTAAAATCCCTAAATGTTGCCTCTACAAACCAGATATAATTTCTTATCGACAATTTACTTTTAACCCCTTAAAGATATAAGTAACATATCGCATAGCATCTGTGATGTGATCTTTGTGACTTTTTCCTAGAGACATACGTACCTAGTTACATACCTTGGTAGGTATCTACTAGTTAATCTATCAAAAACGAATCCATCCAAAACAAAACTTTTTCCCTTTCAGCGAACATTGTCGTTGTAATAATAAGCAGGCGGAGCTTCGGGTAAACGAGTCGTCGGCGGCGGCGTTACCAGTACCCGCTGCTCGTCTCCTTCTTTACTAACCAACCCCCTTTCCTCGTCGTCGTCTCCGACTTTCTCGTAGGAGCTGCCCCCGCCTCCCAACATATTCCTCCGCCCGGCCTTTTTGGCCTTTTTGGCGGCCTTTTTGTCCGCCTTCCTGGCCCGCGTCTTCCCGATCGCCCACACGAATACCTGGATCCCCGTCATGTATAGCAGGGCTCGCCCCGCCGCGCGGCCGAAGAGCCTCGCTTTGGACGGGCGGGAGGGCGGGCGGCTGTCGTTGTCATCGTCATCGTCGTTGTTGTCTTGGTTGAGGCGTTCTGTGGGTTTGGGGGGTGCGGTTAGCTTCGGTTGGAAGGGTGGTGATGGGGATGGGGATGGGGTGGTTTTATGGTCTTGGTGTATTGTATGGATGGATGTATCTAGGTAGGTATTATATATATAATGTGTGTGTGTGTCGTAAGGGGAGTGGAAGGGTGAAAGTGAGGGTATAGTAGGGGAAACCCGAGATGAGATGAGATGAGATGATTCCAAATTTACCTTTTCGAAACAAGTGCCAGGTGAGGAGGACGAAGGCGACCACCCACACGATGCCCAAGACTATAACGAAGTATGCCCACGCCGGGAGAGAACCTCTGCCGGCGGGGTGGTGGTGCACTATGTATCGGGTTCCCCCGCCGCTGGCAGCTCTGCTGTCGCTGCTTCCCTTGGAATCACGAATGCCGATGATGATGTCCATAGACCCGTGTTTATCTTGATTCAGGGGGGAATGGGGGGTGAGGTATGTATGAGTGTGAATTGAAGTTAAGCGTAGTAAGTATCTAACCTGGTGTTTGTGGTTGTGTCTTGGGTTGATATAAAAAAAATTGTAGGATTCTGCTCCAATTAAGTAGATGCCTCGATGGTTATCTTGTAGTAGAGGTTTGTGGTTAAGATACGTAGTCCTAAGCTAGCAGGAGCAAAATAAAAAAAGAGCCTAAGATATAGGTATGAAATGGGGGGAAAGGAAGAATAAGAAGAACGGCGGTGCTGGTGATGGTGGTAGTGGAGGTGGTGGTGGTGGTGATGTGGCGAACGGGCCGGGGGGTGTTTTTTTCGGGCGGAAGGGACAGGCTATTGAACCATGACGGGCGGCGCCGATTGAACCAAAAAATGAGGCTTTGCGGGTCCGTATGCATTAATCAGACTTCGGACTTTTGCCAGAAAGCGTGGAGGGATCACTAAGCTCTGCTGCTCGTTGTAAGTTCCGATGGGTTTTACTGCGCCTCAAAAGACAGCACAGCACAGCACAGCACGCCCGCCGCTTCCTGCTTCTTGGCGCGGAGGATTCACCACCCAGCTTAAGTGGTGATAGGATGGCGTGGGAATCGGAAACCTCGTCGTGTCGAGAACAAGGATGGATTCCCACGGGCCGGGTTCGGAACGGGGTTATGATATAGGCACTATATCATATGTCTATGTGAACGCATGGCGCGATATCGAATAGAGGTAACTATCATATGTTCAAAGCCAGTTAGGTAGTTAATGTTAACCCGGAAACAGGTATATGAAGTATTATTACCCGCCTATTTTTATCTTCTAAACGCCATATCAGTGTAAAATCGACCGAGGTCATTTCCCTTGAAATACCCTAACCTAGTAAATGCCCAAGTTCACGGGTATAATACTTTAATAATACCCGCACTATTTCCGTCCCTAAGTGGCCGAGTTGTGTAATTGACGATGCTTCTTCAGCATTAGAAACATCAGATGCGCATTATCATCTAGTTGGTCGTACCAATCATTTCCATCACCGTAGAAGTATATATCCCGCGCAACTCGCATTAACTTTTCTGTAATCTCAGTCTGAGGCCGATTATCTAAAATCAGCGCCAGATTAGATGTCCCGCCCTCTCCCCTGCAGCTAGCTGCCGCGATGACTACATCTTCCGTGACAGGAACGTGCCGTTCACACTCGAGGAGAGCCTTCAAGCTGCCTCCATAAGATCGGGCAGCAGCAGCGACAACGTCTTCTGTAATTTGGCAATGCTTGTCCCAGTCAAGCAAGAACTTAAACATCTCCTCCGTGTAGTCCTTGTTTTGTGCCGCAACTTGGAGAATGTCTCCGATGTCGAGGTCGTCTTGATATTCTAAGAAGATCTTAGTTATCCATCTGTCTTTATTGTCGATTTCTGCTGATAGCTTTAACATATCCTTCGTAACGCCGATGCCAGCTCTATCTAGCAGTTTATTGAAGTTGGAACTACGAACGCTTGGTTCTGTCTCATAGCCCCACGAACTCCTATTCCTAATCACGGCCATGAGGACAGCTTCGGTGACCGGACAGTTTTCATCACAGTCCAGTAGGAATGTCAACCTCTCTCCACTATGATATCCCATAGCTGCTAGCCTAAGGAATTCTGTTGTGATAGTGAGCCTCTTTCGGAATGTACCTTCGTGGTGACTGATCCATAAGTCTACAAACTCCCAGTTTTTTGCTGGTAAAAGCTACTTCAAGCGCAGATTCGGATATTTCGATGCTTGGGTCGTGCTCTAAGAGAAGTTCGAAAGTCCTTGCGACATCCTCCTTCGTATTATTGGCCAAAGCTTCTACGATGCTAGGTCCGATCAATGCATCTTTCTTGTAATCCAGCAATATCTTGATTAGCTGTTCACTCAATCTTCGGTTTCCAGCCGCGGCTGCTAAGATTGTATCGTCAACTAGTATATCCTGTTTGTTCAACATCAATTCTATAAGTTCGTTTCCAATACTTTCATTGGCAGCTGCAGCCGCTACGACTGGCGGTGTGATTTGGATCCGATCTACGCGTTCTGTAAAGATCTTAGTTACCCATCGAGACCTTCGTGCCACAGCCACTAAAAATTCTTCACTGAAAAGAATTCCGTGGTGGCAGTCCAACAGCTCTTCAATAAATGCGACGACATTCTTGTAGGAGAGAAGGACATATAAAATAAGAGTCTCCGAGGGGATAATTTCTAATCGGCGCCTAAGAAGCCTAAGAAGTTCGATAGGATATTGTGTTCCCCCAAAACTCTGACCTACTGTAGAGCGCAGCACCGTCTCTGTGTTAGTGACGCTAATATCCCACCCGGCCTCAAGCAGATCCTCAAACATCTTCAGGCCATTTTCATGATTTGATGCGATAGCACAGATGATTTCTTCTGTAAGGTTTACGGCTTCTTTACCATGCTCCACCAGAAACTTCATGACCTTGTGTCCATCAGATTTAAGATTTCGAGCCGCGCGGAGGAGGAGGCTCTGGAGTGTAGCAGTATCTCCCTTGAAATGCCAATTAATTGACATTAACTCTTCATCGTGAACTGAAGCGTGCTTAACGAGCTCCTTAATTTCGGGTGGTTGGTCTTCCTCAGCGAACAAATACTTCAGCATCTCCACGGAATGCCATATCGCCCCATGGTAAGCCTGTAGACTCACTGGAACTCTGCCAAAGTGATGCTTCAACGCTTTCAGGGCATCAATCCCAAACATTTCGTTTTTTATGGCGCATGCCGTCATGTCCGATGTGATGTCCATACTATCGTACTTCTGCAGGATGAGTTTTACGACTCGTATAGAACTATGAGCCAAGGCTACTCTGACTAGTCCGGTGGTTACTTCCACTGGTTCCGGCTCGTCTAGCAAATCTCTTACCACTTCATAAGAATCGTGTTCGCAGGCAGCTTTAAGGCCCCTCCTTCTTAGAATTTGTTGTGTATTTAAATCATTAGTCGCTTGCGCCAGAGCAAGCTCAAGAATTTCGTGAAGGTTGTAAATGCAAGCGTCGATGAAGGCGTGACGCTGATAGTAACCGTGATAATACATCTTCATCTTACTATATATCTTATCGGGCTGCCTGAAAAAGGAGCCAAGTAAGTCGCGAAATCCTTTGCGTGTCCTGTTGACAGGCCCGGCTCGGGAACAATGAGAAAGGGCGAAATAATTGATGTAGGATTTCATAAAGGAAACCTTTGTTTGACTATAATATGTCGACCATAGGCAAATTTCTGCAATGAAGCCATGGCATGTTTGAGGATCGAATTCGGTACCGCAATACTCCGAATTCATGAGATACTCTTTGACGGAATGATGAGAAAACCTCACACGTCTGAAAGAGTGATCCAATGAGATCAAGTTGCTACATAGCTGGATGATCTTTTCGGAGTCGAGAGCTTCGCGCCGTTTGTTAGATGATTCGTGCTCGTGGGAAAGGAGTACCGCCTCGACCAGTTCCTTTGGAGTTAGAGGTCTTATAGAGCATAAAACCCACTTGAGGGCGTATGTTATAATGTTGCGGGCATCTTTTCGACGCTTATTAAGTATGCGATCATATGCTTCATTCAATTTCGCCATCGAGTCTTTGGAGTATCCAGTCATCGAAAGCCCATTTTCGAGATTCTTCAGCTCATCCTCTACATCTCCTTCCACTTCGAAAGGATAATTTGGGTCAAAGAAGATTTCGAATTGGAGTTCGACCCAGCGGAACCTAGGTGAGGTATTAGCAGAGGGCTTTATAACCGCACTGGAATAGAGAACTGACACTCCCTGTGCATGTTGAATCAATGCATTTCTTAACCTGTCTTTGAACCCCTTTTCAACCCATCCAGGGATTCTATTACGACGCGCATCAACCTCCGTATTGATATACTGCTCCAAGTCCCTACAGGCCGTATTTTCCCCGATTGTTAAGCATTGGGGGTTTGTAAAAACGTCCTCGATTTCCACATGTAGACGACTTGACAAGAATAGCTTGACTTTATTTGAGGAGCTTTCTTGGACCTTTTTAAGTGTGTCCAGTACACTATCCAGTGCAGGGCATTCATCCAACGCATCAATAACGATGATGACTTCCGAATAAGCTGAACACAATTCCGATAATAACTTGGGACTTTTATAATCATCTAGTCTCATTTGTTTGGCTTCACCTCTGGAATAGTATTTGTTCGAGATTAGAGCCTGAACTGGACCATCCTCGCTCAAAATTGCGAGTTGAAGAACAAGCGAACGGAGCATCGAATCCAAAATGTGGTCTGTGGTACAGTAGACGTAGACGATCTTTCGTGGTTGCCGTAGGTACTTTCCCTTGGAGAACAGCTCGATAATCTCGGAGCTACCAAGTTTATGAGCAGTGCCTCTTTAAAGACATGGGAAGGTAATTCGGGGGGGAAGAGGAGGGTAGTAGGTACCAACCTTACGGATGTTTTGCCTGTGCCAACTGCATGCCAAGTATTAACACACTGATACATTGAACCTTCGGTTGTATTCTCACTCACCACCACCGCGTAGCCAAAATATTGGTCGAGTATAATCTTCAACATCGCTCCAGGTCTTAAATTCTGGCGATTCGATGAGCCACTCGCCTATATCACCATAGGCACGGACTTTGCCTCTCGCTCGTTCGTGATCCATTTGATGCTTGTAAATTTGAGCATGGTCCTTTGACCCCATGATCCATTCGGCAATTGGCTCTAGAAATATCTTTATTCAGCCATGATATGTCATCGAGAGTTTGGGGACATTGTTTAACTTACTAGACTCTTGCTGCAGACAGGATTGGACATCTCGTATAGCTGAGGAGATTTTTACGTAAAGTTGATCAGTTTTTGCCTTGCATTTATTCAAACCAGAATGATCCGTCTCAACTGATATATGCTGTCCAATATCAAGAGTAGCTGATTGAGGCCCTACGATCTGAACATGAAGTTAATGACACGACTTAGATAGAAAAGTAAATAGGTACATACCACACCAAGCGATACACCGCAATAAAACGTGGGTAGAGTTTCATAAAATGAGTACACTGGTAGTAGTTTTTGACCAGGCCTGGGCGTTATAGCTGCAGAGAAATCACTCTTTAAGTTTAACAATGCGGGACTGCCGTAACTCAACAGTTTCAACAACATAGCATTAGACCCAGAGAGTTTGGTATGTCGGGCAATGATTTTGCCAAACGAAGAAACAAGGGAACCTTGGTGAGGAGTTCCCAAAAAGAGAATGCCAGCGGTATTACGATTAACGTCTTCGAAGCACAACTCGGAGTGCGCGAAGCAAATAGCCTTCCGAAATGTTAGCGGAATATTGAAAAATCAGACTACCTAGACCAAGGCACTTACGTGTTTTACGATGATCCCACCGAAGCTGTGGCCGATGAAGAGAATAGGGGGGTTTTTCTGTAGGAAGTGAGTTAGATATACAGGATATCTTGGGTAGATAAGGAGTAAGATTGACCTTCGTATTCTTCCTGAACTCTGATAGTGCTCTCAGAAACGTCAGAGCCTTCTGCGACGCTGTCGACAGCGAGGCGTCCATGAACCAATCGGCATTATAAGCATAGGAGAGGATTCTGACGTTCTTAAAGTCTTTCTTCAAGAAGTCATCGTGCCCTTGTGACTCTCCGGCGGCAGAGCTAGAAAGGGGTCCTTTGCCCTTCCAGCTATAATATGGATGCGCTCCCAGGCCGTGAACAGCTACTATACTAAACCTCACTGTTAGGTACCTATATATGCTAGGGTACTAATTATCTGCTATATTAGGGCACTTACTCCAGGTGCACTTCGTCGTAATCAGCATAGACATTAATCCTGTCCATGTTTTCCCGCGGCTCACGGCGTGATGTAACATAACGGAAGAGATATCCATATGCTCCTATGGCGCACGCGATAAGGAGAACTGTTGGCAATAAAAGGGGGTATAAAGAGGTGAACAAGTCCGGCCACATCATATTGACAAGACTCTCAGGAGTGCTAGTACGGAGGTAAGTGTGTAAGGTATGCGTGAGAAGGATATTGAGCCTGACATGGACGGGGGGAACTGGGCACATATTATTCCTGAAAGGCCAGCCGGCTTTCGGTCCCAAATAGACCATGAGCGTTTCATTGTGGCGTTTCTAGATAAGCCAATCAGAGATATACATGTATCGCATATTCATATCTGACATACCTATCATTCTCATGCAAGTTCATCCATCTCGCCTATTGGTCCTTGGGGAAGAGGGTGGCGGTGGTACTGCTTTAGTAACTGCTACGGAGGCCTAACCATCTCTTTTGCATAGTGGTGATAGCTGCAATATCAAATCTGTTACCCACGTCGCCAGTGCTTCGGTCGGCCATATAGAAAACAGGCCCGGGATTCGAAGTTACCCCAAAAGAGGCTACAATGTAAGCGCTGGAAAGATTGGGTGTGGTGCGTGTGCAATACTGCGAGATAACATCAGAGCTGAATCCAAGTAACTCCTCAATGTAGTCGCAGCAAGTAACTGATTGAATGTCAAGTCTGGACTCATTGGTCGCAATGGCATTCTTAGAGATAACGATACCAGCTATTACGTTACTCTTGAGGTAGCCAACCTCGAATCACGGTACCCAGCTCCAATGCTATTAACGTCGACGGTCGGGCGTCACGCCTCTGAGCCCACTCCACCTGTCCGCAAGCCGGCCGCTCATTGCAGCCCAACCTGATGCTGCTGCATAGTGACCTAAGTCCTCAAATATCATAATCTTTTATTAGACGTGAGCGGCTTGCGCGGAACTTCGTTAATAGGTACCTCGTGAGGTGGCATTGGCGTGGCTGGAGCCTCATATCCCGGCGGCGAATCTTGGCCAGCAAGTTCGCTGGTCGGCAGAGCACTCCAGGTATCAGGCTTGCGTCGTATTTTGCCTATGATGGATAAAATTATAATAACGATACCGATTTTCCATCCCGTTGAGAGTGTTCCAGTCTCCAAGCGAATCCCGCGCCGGTCACATAGAGAGCCATAAGAGCCTATGTAGTCCCTAACACATGCTATAACATACGAAGCGCCTTGCTCAGCCGCAGCGCAACTACTGCGGCGCAAACTCTTAAGATGTAATTAACATCATCTATGGTTTCGTCCCTAAAGCACGGATAGCCATAAGCCGCTTTTCGGTAATAACCCCGCTTGTCGTTTGCTACGGAAAAGAAGCCTTGAGACCCTATGGCCATACGCTCTGACTCTTGGATGCAATACAGCACAGCATGGCAGGCCAGGTACCTAAATACCTAGGTAAGCAAAGAGGTTATCAGAGCCCTTTGTAAAGTTGAAGTCTTTCAGGGATTCCCATCTTATAAGAGTGAAACAAGTGAATTTTTGGGTATCGCAATCACTCGTTACTTTTCGTGTCATTAGAATATATCGCTTTCTTAAAGATCCCACTTACGTACCTATCATCTGTACACAATGTTCAAGCGTCGCACGACTTACCTATCCCGCACTGGACATGCATGTGGCCGACCAGATATGCAGGCTGTTTGTGTTTACCTCCCCCAAATGCCGTGTATGTAAATCTAGGTACCCTAGGTAGGTATCTGCGATACTGGAACCCAGCAGCCTCGTTCCCTGAACATCTCCTATTCCGCATGTACACACCTAACGCAAAATAGCTTCACAGCCAAACCTCCTCAGATACCTATCTATCGTAACTATCATACTTCCTTTCATTTAACTACCTAGTGCTATTTGTCAGGCAGTTTTCGCCGTCTACCCCCCAATACACAATGAGCGGTTCCAGCTCGTTTACAGACGGCGCGACAACCACCCGGGACAGCTTCAGCAACCCGGCCAACCGCGTGACGCTGCAAGTCGGCGAGCGCCGGTTCACCACGCTGCGCGACACGCTCATTGCCGAGAGCACGTACTTCGCGGCGCGGCTGTCGGCTCAGTGGGGCGACGCGGACGCTGACGCGGACGCGGACGGGTCATACTTCGTGGACGCGGACCCGGCGCTGTTCGAGCACGTGCTAGCCTACCTGCGGAGCGCGGCGCTGCCGATGTTCTTCGACAGCGCGAGCCTGACCTTCGACCAGGCGCGGTACGCGGCGCTGCTGGGCGCGGCGCGGTACTTCGGGGTGCGCAGGCTGGCGGAGTGGATCGAGGGGAGGAAGTACGTGGACGCGGTGGCGGTCACGAGGACGGTGGTCGTCGACGACGACGTCAGCAGCGCGTCCATGCACGCCCACATGAGCGGGGCGCCGGCGGGCAGCAAGGTAGACCTCGCGGCCACGTGGGGCACGAAGAAGGTGTATGTCTGCCCTCACGACATCGCTTCTCACCACGGAAACTCCTTGGTATGCGGCTGTGGATGGGCGAAGAGGAGGGAGGAAGGTGATGAGTTCAAAGATGAATTAGTCTTAAGGGCCGTTGTTACTATTACCACGGCAACAATCAATCCTGACCGTTGTCTTGGCCGCGGGATGGCTTGGGGGAGGATGGCTTGGGGGAGGATGGATTAGGGCAAGATGGATGGGGTTATATGGTATATGTTGTGTCGTATGGAATTCTATTGTTAACGCTGCATATGAGGTCGTTATGATTTAGGGAGCTATGAATTATGAATATTCCGACAACGTCCAAATATCATATGCTTCCAGCTCTATTCCCTCCCTTTCTCTTAGGCGTGGCGAAGAGAAATAAGGTACGTACTGTACAATACGACAGTATCATGGCCCGTGCATATGTAGCGCCCTTATATTGATTTGATGCTTGATGCTTTGATGCTTCACTTAGCCTCATGAAATTCCCAAGAAGTTCAAGAAACCGGCCGCTCAATATATAATCGTTTCAATTCCCCCTTTATCTGCGATTGATATATCACTAAATTTCCTATACGTTCGTTCGTTGGCCGAGTTAAGATGACCAGGTCGGAAGAAGCGGAGGCTTTCTTCCACGTCGTGTACACCGCCGTACAGCAAATCCCCTACGGAAAGGTCACAACTTACGGACACATTGCGAAACTAATTGGAACTCGTATGTCGTGCCATTCAATTTTATGTTTATTGATAATATAATAACCAGAATTATAGCTGAACGACCGCGTCAGGTCGGTATCTGTCTCAAGCATCTTCCACAGGACACAGAGTCACATTTCAACCACGACAACGTTCCATGGCAGAGGGTTATCAATGCCAAGGGCATGATTTCACCCAGGTACATAATCTCATTGCCGGAACGCCGTACAAATGCTCACAACTATATAGATCACAACCTTCGGGGGCACGAAACCAAGCAGCTGCACTACAAGCTGAGGGGGTTACTGTAACTACCAGCGCGCTCGGCGAACTAATGGTGAACTTCTCCGAATGTGGATGGTTTCCGAATGTATTACCTTCAGAAGCGGAGGAAGACGACGAATAACACGGTTCATCCATTTGCATCAGAGTGAAGTCATATCACAGGAGATTCGTAGTTGAACTAGTGGCAGCTGGTGGGTACTTCACCAAACCGAAGCCCACTGCGGCCCTACTTCTCTAGCCTTGAAAATCATATCTAGATGAACCGCCATATTAGCAGAAATTCTCTGACCGAGTACACAAGACAAAGGCGGAATTGATAAATATCAGATAGCGGTTGGACATAAGTGATTCCACATGTAATTCAGAACAGGTCTGTGAATTATGTGCTTTCATCATATAAGAAAAAAGGTTGACCAAAGGAATGTAAACGTACCATAATAAGGGAATCCCAAGTAAACAATAAGACTAAATCGACTACGAGTCTTCAAGTTTACGCTTCTTCGAGGTAGGACCGAAGAACGAGTCCATAGTCCTCTGGCGTGAGTCAAATTGAGTGCTACCAATGCCGCCTCTAGTCTTTTTCAAGCCCACGAGGTGGTCGACGTTGTTAGTAAACTCGATAGTTAGACATATAGTTTGCTTATGCAAGTCTGAACCGTTTCCTGCAGCCACTGTGTTGACGGAGGACACGGCTTCACCTGTACAGTCCGATTTCGACATGCCACTAAGTATTTCAAGCTTGGCCTGAAGGACACCAGTGTTGCTCCACGCCGCAAACTCAGATTGCTTGTCGTGATTTCCACTTCGCATCGAAGTATCGGCTGGCTTAGGAAAGCGTTTAAGCAATGCCTTTAAGATAACACCGAGGATGATACCATGTGCCACTATAGCAACAGTGATGTTGTCCGACACATGCTTATCGACGATTGGGACTAGATGGGAATCTAGAAACCGATCGACTCTGATTCTCATAGAGTCATGAGTTTCCGAGTCTGACTGAACCAGGCCATTAGGATTCCTATATTTTTTGCCCTCAGATGACCCGTAGTCTCTTTCACGTAGCTCGGGCAGCCGTATCACTTTCAAAGAAGCACCGGTATCTGTTGCACCATCGCTTAGAGAACCTCTGGTCAAGCCTCTGGTATCAGCTAGGGCTTTAGAGACGGCATCGGCTGTCTCGTAGGCCCTTCGAAGATTGGATGTGAATATGTACTGGATTGGGGCAACAGGATCGCAGCTCTTCGCTAGATGAGCACCCAATCTATTTATTTGCAAAACACCATGGCTTGTTAAGGGAGAATCACGAGAGCCTGCACTGGAAAGAGAGTGTTAGCTTAGCTTTTGACATCCGACAGCCAGATTCCAAAGATTCCAAAGCAGTGTGTTGCTTACTAGAGACCAGCTACATTGTCAACAGACTCGCCATGTCTGATCAACAGAAGGCGCATTGCGACGCATCATGTTCTACAGGTTTGCCAGGGAAGAGATTGTTGGGGTTGTTCTTGGGAAGAAGTGTTAGAGAAAATTTGCGACGGTGGAAACTTTTTAACATAGCGGGAATAAATAAGGTGGGGGCAAGTGATTGCACTGGAATTACTCCGGGTTATTTGGCTTGTTCGGCTTTATGTAATTTATGTAAGGTACTAAGGTACCTATTGTACCTAGGCCATTACCTAAGGTTACCTGTCCTGTCCCGTCCCACATTTCATTAGCCTTTCTCATCACTCATTTACCCTCTTATTAGTAGGTACCTAATGCATTATACCCTTTTACCTAGACATCGACAGTAAATCATTTCAGGCTCGAGTCATATATTATATTAATGAATGTATTCTGCAGGTTACCTCTTATACTCATTTCCTATCCTAAGTAGAGAAAGATACGTGTCTCCAGATCGACAACGATGATAAATCGCGTTTGTACGAACCATCTCGTGGATAGTGGCTTTTAAACAGAGCCTGGACTTAGAATGCATTCTCCTTCTGGCGCTGCTCAAAGACCTTCAAGGCCTCTTCCGCCGCCTTCACACCGGATAGAGCCATGGCACTTCACAACAATTAGCATAGGTACGTAACAATTCGATAGTTATAAGGGATTATATATCACTTACCCGAAGGTTGGGCCCATGCGGTTGGCTCCGTCGACCTCGCTAAGCTCCATGCCACCCACAATCAAGCCGGGCACGATCTCTCGGGTGCCCTTAACGATGGCATCTTCGGCGGTGTTCATGTCTAGCCCGCGCATGCCGCCAAGCTTCTCGATCGCTTGCATGCTGACAAGTCGCTTGACGCTGAAAGCACCGAAAGGCCCGTCGTGACCGGTGGTGCTGATAATGACAGGCGCGTTGATGGTGCTAGGGTCCATGCAGGACTGGTCATCATGGTGCATCGAGACCAGAGTCCAGTTGGTAACCACACCAGCAATTCGGATATTGCCAGACTCGTCACGACGGGTGATGAGATCCTCGACAGAGGTGGCGTTGAAAAGCTTGACGTTGGGGAACGCCAAAACCTTCGACAGCAAGGTCGAGGTGAAGAGGGCAGCGTGCTTAACCACGACGTAGGCTCCCTCATCATCGAACGGCACACCAAGTTCGGTCAAGAACCTGTCAGCCGGCTTGCGCATAACCATAGCACTGAATAGCTGGCCGCCGAGCCAGGCACCACCACCTAAGCTAGAAGTCAATTCCGCTATTCGATCAAGTACCACTTTGAAGTAAACGCACCAGGAGAGACGCTAGCCTCAATGATCGCAATCTTCAAGTCGGGACGAGCCTTGGCAAGAGTATAAGCCGTGCTAAGACCGCATGAGCCAGCACCGACGATGACAATGTCAGACTCGGCATAAGTGTCAAGGTCCTTGAAGTATCGTCGATACATAGCACGAGCGACCTGCGACTCCCTGATTGGCTCAAAGGAGAACTCCTTCCACTTCGCATCCAAGACTTGAACATCTCCACTGGCACGGGATTTTCCATTGCCAACGGGAATGCCTCCCTTGTGAGGAAGGGTGGTTGGTTCTACAACTTCGACAGCAGATGGTGCCATTTTGATTCTTGTTTAGGTGAGTTTTTCTAATATGTGTTAGTTGCCGCGTAAAAGGGGTAAAGGGGAAAACATGGAGAGCATGATCCTTTCGCTGGTATTATCCAGATCAAGTTTTCGGCCGTATAATCTCAGAACGGGCTCTGCGTTTTGCCCCGTCCTCAGCGCATCTCCATATCCTTTACACAGAAAAGATTAATTCCTGAGCGGTTATGGTTGGATGCGCTTATAGACGGGACGCAGAGACCCGAACACCGGCTCATGGCTCATCTCAGATTCTTTACCTAATGATGAGGGCTTTTGATCAAGTGCAGTCAATTGAACTCTTGCTGGATAACCAATTCGAGGTCATGTCCTCGGGCGGGGTCGCCATCTTGACGCGTACCGAGTATCGGTCCTGGTCAAGTCAAGAATTAGTATACGCCCTCGGTGAAGTAAATAATAAACAGGGATTTGGTTTCTACTACGAGGCGTACGTATGCTAGTGCAGATGATATCTGTCTGAGTTGATGAGTTGACAAAAGTCAGGTTAGTTGAGAAAGAAGAGAAAATCTCTCTCCTCTTTCACGAGATTCTGCTCAACATCTTTATACTCATCGTGAAGCGGGGTAGCTCTCGGGTAGTGTCGTCATACTAACCATATGCAACCAAGAGTCGGCTTTGGGTTTAGATATCTGCAGACATAATTTACCTCTGCCCATGCATTTCATCGCCGATTCTTGCCGGTCTACGGCCGTGAGATATATTAACGATTGCTAGTAAGGTGGGCCCTCGGGACTTTTGTGCGATGGTATATATATCTCAATAGGGCTGATCGGCTATCACGCTGGTGTCGCATTTCCCTAGTTGTGATGAAAGGGAGTGTAGATCTTATAGAAGCTACTGGGATGGAGATATAAGCGCTATCTACCTATAGGCAGAGTTCCTGTCAAATTTCACATCTCCGATTGGACTGATCCCATATCTATCGGACAATGAAAGGTAAATGCCTCCCTTTCGATATGTACTAGTTATCATAAAAGACTACTTATATATTCCCATACACGATACTACCCTCATAACGAAATACCACTTATTCCCATAGGCGCCAATTGGCCTCCTTCTTTTAGCAAACAACTGTGGGCCTCTTTCCCCCCCTTATCTAGGTTTGGTAAAGCTCTGAGTTATTTCTACTTTCATTAGTAATAAGAGCCCGAGGTGTCCCTTACGAAAACTCTCTATCGGTCCGGTTAAATTTTAAATTATACATACCTCCCTGGTCTTCAAATATATAGGTATGGGATGATTGTTGAATGATATATGGGTTGAGTAACAGTAGATATAGTACAGTATACGGAAAGCCTATCTCATATCAAAATGACACTCGCCTAGTTGAAGATTATATACTCTTAGAAAATGAAATATAAAAAGATATTTTCTAGGTGTACGGAGGGGTCTTTCTGATAGGTAGTGGTAATGTAATGGCTTTCCTTGATAAGTCTAGTCAAGAAGGTCTGAATGTGCGGAATTCCCAATATCCTAAACATCAACATTTACTCAAGGTAAAGGAAGGGTATACAAACATTCCCAATTCGAGTAGGCATAAGGGGAAGCACCTAGCAAATCCTAACGCTCGTTGACTCTTTTCTATAAGTGAAGCTATAGAAGCTTTAGAGATATCCATCGAAACAGGTACGTATAAGCCTGCAACGAAAGAGAAGGAACAGTAACATGCGGATGTGATGGTTTAGAGACTTTGATATAGATACCTACCTGGTGTGTTGCATTTGAAATAAGGCAACTAAACAGCTATATATGATAGGACTCCCTAATATACTGCTTACCTTCATCATTGACTTTAATAAACGGCGGGGACTTTGCATGTAAGTGAACTGCCCATGAGTTAGGTACATACCCTAGGTACTACTAGGCGAGGGGTTAAAGGCTGACCCAGGGGAAAGGATAGCAAGGATAATGAGCTCATTGGGGAAGCTCGGGCCACATCCTAGGCAGGGCTGCAGGGATTGGCAGCTCCCCTCTAGTGGGGGGTTTCAGTTGCTTGCACCATTCATTCATCACGCCGAAGCTTCCTCAAAACGCCTTTTTTTTGGTGAGCCTCGAATCCCCAATTCGCCGGTAAAACAGCAATTGCATTTACCACGGCGTGGTATTCACTCTTCGGCCCTGCCTGAAATGCAGTATTCTTATCTCTAGAGCGCTACAAGCTCTAGGCAGTAACATCAAATCGCCGAACCCCCGCCCTTAGACGTTTTGCAATTCTTCTTCATCATCTTCATCATCACCATCGCCGCACGCAACACAACAACTCACCAATCCTGAATCTCGGGAAACACACAACAAGCCCACAATGATGATGATGCGCAGTAACTTCCTGAAGCTTGGCCAGCTTGGCCAGATCGGCCGAAGTAATCTTGCCTCCATGGCACGTTTTGCTGTCCTTCCCAGAGTCAATCAACAACTCACAGCAACCATTTTACCTCGAGTTATGTATCGCCAACCTGTCCCGGCGCGTCTCTTTTCCGCGTCCTCTTTCGCCGCCCACCAGGCAGCACCCAAGGACAGTTCTTCGTCTATTACAATGGCCCAGTATCACGACTTAGCGGATGAGTATCTCGACGCCGTGCTTACCAAGTTCGAAGAGCTCCAGGACGAGCATGGAGAGATTGACGTTGAATACAGCGTAAGTTACAGGCTACCTACCTGCCACCCACCTGTAACTTAACCATGCGACATTGGCTAATACTGATTATGTGCGCGTCTAGTCTGGCGTTATGACCGTGAAGATCCCCAACGTCGGCACCTACGTCATCAACAAACAACCCCCGAATAAGCAGATCTGGCTCTCATCGCCGGTTTCGGGTCCGAAGCGATACGACTACGTGCGATCTGCTGAGGGAAAGGGCGAATGGGTCTACTACCGAGACGGTTCTACTCTGACCGAACTTCTACTGAAAGAGACGGGCGTTACGGTCGAGGTAGAATCTGATGAGTGAATGGATGGGGGTCAAATATCTTTGCGACTGGTTAAGTTCGCCTTTTTTTTCTTTCTCTCTCTTTCTCTTTCTTTCTAAGAGACAAATCCAAGACGATATGGCGTGTGCATTAAGGGGTTATTAAAAGACGATGATTTCACAAGGGAGTTTGCGAGCTAGGATTTGTACCATATGTTGCTTTTGCTTTTGCTCTGGCTTTTGCATCACGCGCCGGAGTTCAGGCTTCATTGTGATATACCACTCATCACACGTTGCATTTGCGTTTGAGTTTAGTTAATGAAGAAGAAAAAAAAGCACAAATACATTGCGATTGTACTACGCATAATGTTTTCTTCGACCCTCTTCTTTGCCCTAGCTAACACCTTCCAGTTATGCAGTAAAGTAAATATCAAAATTGTTACATTAACAAATTACAGCAAGGTCCCGAGATGGAGTAGGAAGTATTAAAACAACTTCCTATTTTATCTCAAACAATTTTAACTAGGTAGCGTTAGTTATCCTTGTCAGGTGGTCGCGGTATCAACCAGCAGTTATGGGGGCACAAGCTCTCCAGGTTCTGCAAGTGGCCGATCACGGCCTCGGAATCGACGCCGTATCCCTTCTCCCACTTCTTGCTGAAGATCCAGTCGGACCGGCCCCTCCCGCAATGGATGAGCAGGCGCATGTAGACCTCGCTCATCTCGTTGGGCGGCGCGGCGTCGCGCCAGTGGCCCTTGCAGTTGCAGAGGTACACCGCCACGTTGCCCAACCTCACCATGTGGTAGCTCCTGGCCAGGACCGTATTGCCCCGAGAGCTCCAGTCCACCATCTTCTGCATGCCGCGTATGATGTTATCGTCCCCCAGAAACCGGTTCGTGCAGCCCTGGTGCGACACCGGGATCTCCAGAGCGGTCTCGTTGTCCGGGTCGGGCGCGGCGAATTCGGGCTGGGACGGGGGCTGGGACTCGTCGAGATGGGAACGAGAATGGCCGCTGGGATCTGGCTGTTCTGCGGGCCCCGCCGACACCGCCAACACCTCGCTGGTGTCGTTCCCTACTTCTCCTGCCGCGCCCTCCTCCCTAGGCACCCTCAAGCTTAGAGCCAGACAAGCGCTAATGATTGCGCTTATCTGGAGAAGGAGGATCCAGCAGCTCTTCATGATGACTGGATTCTTCACAAGGGCTGATGTCGATATCAATATCTCTCTATGTGTAATGGTTCTCGAGCTTTGTTGGTACGTACCTGGGTAGGATGGGATACGAGATCGGGCGATAAGCAACTTGATGTCTTCCGGGTTTGTAGGCAGAGAAGTAATATGCCAGAAAGACTCGCTCGGCGGAAAGCGTTGTGCGCAGAGCGAATACTAGAGTAAGTAACCGGGTGTGTTGTTGTTGATATGATCTTTGAGCTCTTGATGTTTGATCGCTCTTCGAGGATGGGTAGTCCTCCTTATATATCCAGATCCATACTACCTAAGTACCTTCCTATATACCGGTGGTGGCAACTGTCTACCTTGAGTACCTACGGAGGGGACTTTTTGCACAGACAGAGTCGTAAGCACCAAAACTTAAAGTACATCAAGCAGTTCTCACCGTGGGTTAAAGTATTGAATCTTAAGTGGCTGCGTACGTACGTTGCGTAAGGAATCTAGATAGAGGCATGAGGCATCCACGTCTAGGACAAATAATCCCAGCCCGTTGCGCTCGCCACTGATGTAATCTCGAATAGAATTCTCACTTAAAAAAAAGTCCATTGCCTACACGAGGGGAAATTTTTGAAAAGGAGATAAGGAGGAAGCTTTAATCGGCGTCTGAAAGTTTATATGAGGTTATATACCGCTGGAATTGCGCGCATCATTAACTTGAATAATATTCTATTCTATGAAACGCCGCTCAAAAGGACCTACCTAAGATAAGGAGGTTTAGGTGGTCTTTACAAGCTCTTGCATTTAGCAATCACACCTTGGTTGCCTCGCTCGACACAGTTCATTGATAGGTACGTAGAATAAGTTACGGAATGTCAAGGTATAAATGACAAAGTCCTTTTTGGGGGGGGGTTAGGTATGCGAGCACAAATCTGGCAAACGGCTTACGTACATCCGCGCGTACCTGTAAACGCGATTATACCGATCGGATGGTCCAACGTAACCCGAGCTGCCCGAGCCAACGCCCGTTATACTGCAAAAAGAAAGGGCCGGCCCATGTGACCTCGCGTCTTTCTGCGGTATAGAGCGAGATTGGTCAGCTCATGTCAGGGAGTAGGTAGAGCAAGCTACAGGTATCTAAGGTACTTATAAGTTATAAACACCTAGTATCGTCTTTTCGTAGATCACGACTAACTTCAATATAACCTCATTAGGTACCTAGATACCTCATTTATAACTTGATATCTTAACTTACCCCCTTACACCATGGCACAAAAACACCCTGTCATTCACTACGGGACATCAACATTCGGCTCATCCCACGTACCCGCGCTGCAAGATGAGACAAACGTCTCCAAGTTCCTCCAAGTTTTACAAGAGGGCGGTATATCCCAAATCGACACAGCCGCCCGGTACCCCCCAGACAACCATGGCGCCTCGGAGCGAATGCTCGGGCGGGTGAAAGCAGCCTCCAAAGGCTTCACAATCAACACGAAGGTGCTGTTCGCTGGCCAGAGCAGCGATGGCACTCTCAGCAAGGAGGCTGTGCGGAAGAGCGTCGAGAACAGCCTGCAAACTCTAGGCGCTGGGAAGTTGGGAATCCTTTACGCTCACGCCGCGGACTACGCTACCCCCTTGGAAGAGCAGGCAGCAGCCCTGAACGAGCAGTTCCAGAAAGGCTTTTGCGAAAAGGCGAGTGAAGGGATAAACCGTCCTATCTACCTAGGTACCTATTTCCGATTTTTGCTAACTAGGTACCTGTCAATCTCAGATCGGCGTCTCCAACTTCCCCGTCGAAATGCTCAAGTCCTTCGTGGAAATCTGCGAGAGGGAAGGCTACGTCAAGCCGTCGGTGTACCAGGGGCAATACAACCTGATCTGCCGGGGGCCCGAGAAGGACCTGCTCCCGTTCCTCCGCCGGCACGGCATGGCGTTCAACGCGTACTCGCCCCTCGGCGGCGGCTTCCTGACGGGGAAGCTGACCCTGGGGACGGCGGAGGGGACGCGCCTGGCGAGCGCGTACGGCGCGCACTTCGCGCGGTGGTACGACAGGCCCGAGTTCCACGGCGCGGTGCGCAAGCTGCTCGACGCCATCGCGCCGCGCGGCATCAAGCCCTCCGAGGCCGCGCTGCGCTGGATCGCGTACCATTCCGCCCTCGGCGAGGCGGACGGGATTATCCTCGGCGCGACCAAGGTCGAGCAGCTGAAGCAGAATGTCGAGGACATCGGCAAGGGCCCGCTGCCCGGCGAGGTCATGCGGGTTATTGGGGAGATTGGGGAGACTATTGACGGGCTGGGCGGGGGCGACTTCGAGGTGAGACCTGCGGAGCTACCGCCCAGGTAGATAACCAAGCTGAAGATGATGATGTTGTTGCCTTTCGAAGCCATCTCGTAGCGTCTAGATCACACGGAGGATAATGTTTTATTCTTTTAAAGATTATTCATATCTTTGGAACTATTTCATTCGATACGGCACATTTTGATTTGTTTTCGATTTCCGCCCTTGTGAAACCCCTATCTCTGAATTTCCCGTTTTTTACCGTTATTTATTAAGATCGACTCGTCTAGGTGGTCAAAGAGGTCGGTAATGTTGGAACTTGCGACATCTGAGATAACTAGCAAATCTGATATCTTTACCGGAAAGTCCCAGGAGTCGTAATCTTGCCACATTTGTTGCGTGTGGGGAGATGCCGATATACGTTAGAGTTAACAATGTAGAGGTACCTAATGCTTTTACCTCTTACTCTGATTTAGTAAAAACTTTACCATTTCCTGCGGCAATGATCAGAGCGGGCCGTGCAATGTCGGCAACGATTTGCTTGATAGGCGCACAGGCAAAAGCCGTAGCTACTATGGAGTCTTCGTCGACTTCTGCGAACCCCAGCGCCGCACTGCCCTACCACCTCAAGCCCATGCTACCTCAATATTTCCTCCGTTTCACCAACATAGTCTGGGTCTTGAGCTAGGAAGCGCACCACGTCCCCGTGCTGGAGGTGATCTCGTTAACCATGGCCAAGACAACCGCATACTGCCCTATCCTGCCCGCCACAGCGTTACCTTCTAGCAGCTGCCGGGCTGGGACGCGCTGCCCTCGCCGCCACCACTCAAGTATCCTAAGGCTTACGTCGCCAAGACCGAAGCACACGATCTTGGTGACTTTGCGTCCGCGCAAGAGCTTTCGAATCAGCGGCCGGAAGGAGGCGCGCGTTTCGCTGCTGTCCCAAAATTATGTCTTTTCCGCGAAGATCGACTCCGAATTCTCGATGAGTCCTCGGCTGGCTCGCGCTGATCGACTTTCCCAGCAGACGAGATACTAGCAATGGTACGTTGCGGGGAGTCCGCAGTTTTCGTAGACGAGGTCCCAATATTCTTTGAATCGGACAAGTCGGAAACCTAGATAAGTACCTACTAGCCATGAGCAGTTAATTAAGCTCTTGATATCCTGTGGATGTCTGAAGTTGGGTAGGTGGTAGTGCCTGGTGTCTCACCAAAGTGGCCGCTGCACTCCGAACATAGGGTTTTGGATATAGACTATACTATCATCTACACGGCGAATAGTAAATTTCTCTCCATAGTGTGAAATTGTGATAACTGTCTCTCAATGTCAGCAAGGTCGATTTTCCGCCAGAGCTACACCCCGGGGAAGTATATATACTGGCTACTTGTTTTCCATTCCGAACAACCGTCCGTTAGTAGCGGCGCCGACGGTTGCTCCTCGTTGTCCTGCGCGTGTTCCGACATGTTAGACAGACTATTGCTTCAAGATACTACTAATGTGTATCTGATAGATTCTATTAACCGATTGTAATGCTTAGCGATACACAGCAATCTATATATAACAGGCTCTCTTTATGCCACTATCTCATCTCGCAGCAGACACAAGTACTACATTGGAGACTTTCAATCACCCTATACATCGGACTCCATGTCAGTATCTATGGGCAATAAGTCATCACTTCCGACTACTTATCTGCTGGCTTGTATCAAACATTGGCCATTGCCAGACAATCTGTCCGTCTACGAACCGGATAAGCCCTGTCTCTACCGTAAGGGGCCAAATATATCCAGCCCCTCCCCATTTACACCAAGAAGACATAGCCTTGTCACTCTATCATATATTCACCAATAAAGTCTGTAAGATTGACCTTTTAGTTTTATCTTACAGAAAAATGATTAAATTAGACTTTATGTATGTAGGTGCTCTTTATACAATTGCTAATGAAGAAATTATCGCAACTGAAAGTTGACTGTAGTTAGCTTCTAAGAAGTTCTTATATAGCTAAAAATGACTTAGAGTCAATTTTCAAATGCAATAACCTTTTTAATATTGATTATAGAAAGAAACTCTCTATATAAAAATATTTAATTAAGCTAATTCATTATGAAATGAACCTAGTCGCTCAATCTCCAAAGTTTTACTTGTAAGCATGTCGCGGAGTGACAAAATAGCAAAATTGCCGGGTTTTTTTGTGGGAATTTCGAAGTGGACAAGTGAAGAAAACCAATCCACTGACTGGATGCTGTATACTGTATAGATCAACAACCCGTGTACTGTATTCTTAAAAGAGGCCGTGTTTCAAGGACATGATTATCTCGTGTTATTGTACTTGGGAGTTTGCCCTATTGTCTGCCTTGCTTGCTGTGTTGTGAAATATCAATCTGAGTTTGATCCTTGACACTGCCCCCTTATTTTCGCGCTGCGCGAATCACGAACGATCTTGTCATAATGTGGAGTAAAAAGCAGAGAAATATTCTTGATATTCCGTAGATAATTATATCTTATTATGGTAGCTTGAGCTATGCATCCTGATGACATTTCTCTTATTCTATGTAAGATGCCTCACCTAGAGTCATAACCGTGCCCATGAGGAGATACAGCATATAACACTACTGTAGCGAACGTTTTGGCTAAGCCTCCATAACCTCCCTTCAACCAATACATAGCGTCGTTGAAGCAGATCAACTACGGCTAATCGGAAGCTTATGTTACGGGGCGATCGTTACCAACAATGTAATACCCGCTTTTACCCGCGTTCTATGCATCGGCTCTGCAGTTGTGGGGACATATGTAAGATCCATGTTACTGCATCCGGTGCATACAAGTTATGCATAGTATCAAAGGTGTATGGGAGGCTCAGGCTTACTTACATAAATTAAATTCTGGAGGCTTTGAATCTTGACATATGGGCACATATCTTATGTAGCCATACGAGTTTAGGGAACAGCAAAAGACGCAATTATATGAAGTCCTGCATAGAAAAGATCAAAATACCTGGTAAAGAAGCTATGGATCAGGTCCCAGTTATCAGCTGGGTCAGGTACATATATACAGACAATAGCGCAGCCGTCATTACTCGGATGAGTTGCATTAGCAAATATTTTGTACCTATTTTGTAGGTAGCTTTCTTGTCATCTCTTAGAGGCGTTATCGTAACGGGCCTGCCATGCAGCTAGTTGACGTTCCATAGAAGCCTTTGATCTTTTACTGGAAAATCCAGTAACGAGGAACCTTTCCATTGCGTCTGTCTCCTTTATAAACGCTCCGATTATATCTCGACTAGCCAAGACCTGACCGGACGACCGTTGGGATGAGCTTGCAGTGTTAGTAGGTAAGATACCGATGTTGACTATGGACTAGGTATTACCTTGACTCATTTGGGTAGTAAGAACCACGGTCAGACGTAGCGACGACATTATGTGATGGAGTGGTTGAAGATGGTGGGGCCATTTATTATTATCAAATGTGAGGTAATATATACGAAGGAAGATAAGCCAATATGGATAGTGTATCACAGGTGTGCGTGTAAGCTTCTATGCGTATATAGATGATGAAAGGTAGGTAGGCAAGTGCGGTATACTGGTATAGAGTGCGATATCTGGATATATGCGCACACGTGTGTGCAGAAACGCAATTGTGAGCTCTTGAAGTACGAATGAGCTATTTTGAAGTGAGAAGGCGACCGTGCTGACGTTGGTAAAAGCGAATGTCTAAATTTGTCTTCCATACCGTCGCCATCGCGGGTCCTAGCTCATATTATTATATTCTTGGACGTAATCACAGCCATGATCGAACGCGTGACAAGCATAGTAGAATAGCAAGATAGGGTGGATGCCGCATCAATAGGGAGAAGTAGAGAAAGTTTTAGAGTCATATACTTATCTACTCGAGTATTCCATGATCCTGACACGATAAGAGCTCCGATCAACTGGGAACGGTAGAGCTACCGTCGATTCTAGTACGGGATTGCTCGGACGCGGAGTGGCGATTTTTGAATGAAATTTGACGGGAGAGAGGCGTCTGACGTTGAAAAATCCTGGTAGCACGCTGACTTGATTGGCAGTTGATGCATAAGAAAGCAGGTATAGCTGGGATGAAGTAGGACATAGCTTACCAGAATAGCCATTGGGCAGTAATTGAAAGTAACACCCTAATCGAAAAGGTATTTGAGTAGCTGTGATGTGTTTATAAGACAAGGGGTTAATCTTTATCGTGTGTTGTATGGTTGAGATGTGTGGAAACGAAATATGCTGGTAGCTAGCTGACCGACGTGGATTTGTGATGCTATCCACCCTTCTATACCTTAGATGAATAGGTACCTAGTAATAGAGACTACGCATTCAAGAATGTAACATACTAGGGTAAGGACATGTTATCCAAGTTAGAAGGCTTGTACCTAAAATGTGTTATTTTGTCTACACCCTAATCCGCTTAACCACGTATCACGAATACATACCACTCAAAATCCATGTTTTCGCCGAACGAAGATGGGTTGAATTGCCAAGCCGGGCTGTGGAAAAAAAAAAAAAAGAAAGCTTATACTTTCATTCAGTAGTGCCAGTTGGCCATACTGTTGTTATGTTATGCATGGACTTACAAGCTTATGAGAAACGACGAAGCGGGAACCTCATGGATAGGGCACCATGGGGTTTTGTTTCGTGTAAGTGTTCTGGTGTAAGCTCGAGTCGGCCTTGTCGAATTTTTGCGGACTTTAGGTGTCAATGACGGTCAATAATAGGGTGGGACATGGCCTGCACACAGTCCTTACCGATTCCCCGCTGTGATGAAGGGCGATCGATCGGGGTTTTCGATGAGACAAGAAAAAAAAGAGAAAAAAAAAAGTTGCACTTTTGCTCCCATGTTATGTTGCCTGACCCGACCCTGTAAACAGGAGCGCGCCCCGTGTATTATGTATTATAGTACTATGGTGGTGGTGGGATTACATGTGACGGAGAGGAAGAATCTGGAAAAGGAAGATGGTCTGGCTTTATTGCCTTTTCTACACTTGTTGTTCTGTTGTTAGGTCCCTAATGGCTAATAATGCAACCCCCTACCAGCGCTAAAGGTTCTTTGCACAGCCCGTAGCGGGTACTCCCTATATCAGCCACAATGTGAGACCCAATCATCATAGCCACAACCTGCAACCGTTTTTCACGGCCTGCTGCGGTGAGGTTCAATGGTTTGCCTCCCTCTTTTTACCCGCACACTCTCTCTACACTCTGGACTCTAAACACTCTGAGAGCAACTAGGAAAGATGTCATAATATATCTCAATCAGGGAAAATCGATTAGCTAGAGGATGGTAACTTTTCTACTTTTCTACATGTTTTTTGTTGGTAGCATCTGAATCTATCTAATTAATGGGTTTTTTTTTTATTTTTTTCATGAAAAAAGAAGAAAAAAAAGAAGAATTCTTACCCTATCTTGAATCTCTTCCAACTGACTTCGTCTTCCCCGACGTGTAAACGGAACCGCTCCGTCAAGAACCTTTGCAGGGGTTAAGAGGAATACCTAACATAGTACCTCTGCTTCTAACACATTTTTTGGGTCTTTTCCGTTTGGGAATCGCCCAGGCTACCTCAAATCCTTGCTTCTCGGCCCCTCCCCCTCTCCTTCCCGCCTGGGAGAGAGCCTACTTGAATGCCTTGTAGGTCATCGCCGTGAGGGAAGCTCTCTCATTGGTTTGGCGGCCGGTATTTCCGTACCGTCATCACCAACGGGATCGTGCAGGGGGATGCAGCCGCTACAGGTACCAAATATACACGCACTTTTGATTTAACCTTACTCTCTCTCTTATCCTGTCATCGACCAACTCATGTACCAACTTGTCAGTCCTATAAGAGACCCCACTCGTCCCTTGAGCCGCGAGCCTCGTTCACGATGGTTTGTATATCTCTTATTAACATCCCTCATCCCTACCGGGGACTGTTCCTTTTCCTATATTTCTTAGTTCACTTCTCGGAACAGTCTCCCTTTAGTTAGGTACCTAGACTATTCCTTTAACTTCTTAGCAAACAAACGGGTGTTGTCTTAGTCGCCGCAATGAATTCAGCTTCACCTACTACAAGCACCTCCACAAACAGAGGTGGCCGTCCTAAGGATTGGACCGACCCCAGAGCTCGGAGACTCGTGCGACTGTATATCTATACGAGGTTACCCTTCGAGCTTATATTAAAACTCCTAGAAGAAGGCGTCTGGAAACCTGGGTATGTTTAGCCTGGCTGCTCTTACATACTAGTCAAATCACGTTGCTTACTTTACTATCGTATAGCAAGGTATGTTCGAAGAACACTTTACTTTCGATTTATGTCTCCTTTATGACGGTTATTTAATGTGCTACCGCACCGTATCTCCTCCAATCTACCGATTGTTCTCCTGCAATATTTCTTAGTTCTCAAGTTACAATACTTCGTTGAACCAACCCATTAAGCTCTTTTATTGCTTCGCGATATTAACAAGTCCGCCTAGGATGCTGCCAATAAGGTCAAGAATTCGCTCCTCGGAAATGATCCTAGGTGGATAAGACCCAAGGATGAGGATGACGAGAGAAGACGTATAGCAGGCCTCAAAAACAGCCGACGCGGGACAAGGTTTCGCCAGAGGACATCATCATCGCATCTTGCCAATGAACACCTAACAGTCTGTGGTTCTGGCTGGCATGATGATGACAGTTTGACTCTTGCTCAATCCAACCAACCCTCCTTCGAGTATATCAAACAAGAGCCGAATCGTCACAGTTCCGAAGTTGGAGCCAACTTTCCAAATATCACCTATCATGATAATTATGACGACAATGCTGCACTACAGTTCTCTTGGTCTCTCAATAACTCGAACACATCTCGCCGGGACACCAATCTGACTAATTCTACCGAAACCAGCATGAGCAGTAGCTTTCAGGAGAAGCTTTCAACCGTGTCTCGAGACCAAGCGAAGGGTGCTTGGCGTGTCTTGAAACGATATACCTTCCCACAGAATCCTGATATCAACCGAAGGAATGCTTTTTCTCCGGTGCTCTCCCCTGGGCCGTCAGGTGCTCCTATGCCTGATCCGTTCAGCTCAAGGCACGCACTTCCCGGAGACTTCTTGAATACAGATTTGTTCAACGGAGAAAATAAATGCGGAGTTGGATCTCCTTCTCACGAGGCCGAGACCTGTTGGTGCCGGATCGTCAATGAGCTGAGACCGCCTTATGAGACATGGCCAATCAATAATGATCATCCTACTATCTACGACATTTATTCCAACAGCCTACATGAAATCAGAGATCCATTTGGTAACACAGTATTCCATTGGCTCGCCGGCGCGATTGGAGACAGGAATTATTTCCTCAATCTCATCACTCAAGCACTAAGCCAGAACTTGCAACTAATTCACGCGACGAATACAGCTGGGCAGACATTTCTCCATCTTCTTCATAACTCTTGGTTTGATGACGAAATACTATTGGAGCGACTCCTCAACATGCTTAGGGATGCTGACTTCAACATCTTGGCAACCGATGTTTACGGCCGTAGCTTTTTCCACCTGCTGCAGAATAAGAAGCGGGACTCTATTCGCATACCGGAACACTTATTTAATCGGGAATTACTTCAGCGGCGGGATGCATTTGGTGTTAAGCCAATGGACTCTCAAGCGCAACAGCCAGAGCCACCTACGGCACAAGGCATACCCCGTGTGAACCCCTTAAATACAAGGGGTGCGAGTAATGCGGAGTGTTTACTAGGGGTTCTCGAAATACCTTCCGATCGAGGGGACGATGCTCAAATTCGAACGCAAGCTGAGCTTGTACGAATAGTTGTCGACGCTATTAAGGTCGATCCGGTCAACTCGACTAATCAGAACTCTTTGACGGAAGATGCGCACGGACGCAATGCGCTTCACGCTCTCGCAGAAGTTGAGCTCGACATTGACCGGGTCCAACATCCCACTTATGATAACCAACGACATAAGAAGAGGAAATTCAAGGAGGAGGAAGGGGAACCGCGACCTGACAGTAGCCACAATAGCAAAAGATTGGAATTTCTTGAAGGTATCATCGCTTCCTCTGTTGATGTTAACCATTATGACAACCGTGGACAAACACCCTTAATGGCCTTTATCGCGCTAAGGCCAGAGGACTCGAGATCGGACAAAGAAGATATGGAAAGGTTCATTCGGAAAATAGTCGAGGCGGGTGCCAATCTTGAGCAGCGCAATCGTGAAGGCAAGACTGCCCTCCACGTCGCTGCTTGCTCCGGGAAAAAGGTTGCCCTGAAAGAACTACTTCAACTGGGAGCCAATCCCTACGTTCGTGACGCATGTGGCTTAAGCGTTCTGGCCGCCATTGACGAGATATGGATCCATACCGAAAGAGATGGCGCCCTCACAGCTCGACTAGAAGCATGTCGAGGTGTGTTTACCAGTCTCGTGCAGCCGGACGCCCAGGAGCCCAGCGTTGTACAGGAATGGGGAGTGAGGAGACCAACACCTAGATTATGACAGAAACCAACTAGCTACCGCAACCCTTCGAAATGGGGTATTTCTATGGAAGTACAAGTGGAACTACGAGAGACGATGTACGATTACCTATTGCCGTCTTTTTCAGGTCTTGATAGATACCCTTGTATATTTTAACGGAGTTCTGGGGACGGCGAGGTATTGTACAATTCGCCTTTGATAGGCTAGAATAGAGCGGTCAGTCCGATTAGATACATAGAATGAAGAGATAGAATGAAGAGAAAGAAAGAAAAATTTGCTCTGCTGTGTAGCCCAGAAAATGCCATTGATCATGTCTGCGCCACTGGGCCATGGTTAACTCACTTCAGTCTAATAAGTACCTCCAAGTAAGACGAATGAAAGAGGTACTCCAGAGTCCAGACAGCTGGATCATAGGTACCTGCGTACCCAGGCTCCCTCTCGATTTCCCTTTTAGGCATGTGGGGCACTGAAGGCGGCGTCAGCTATTGGTCTCTTTATCCAGCCGGAGGTTAAGAAGTATTCATCAACCGGATCCTTTAATATGCGTACTGTACATGATGATTTAGGTTGTCTACTGAGGAATGTCATATCCAAATCCGGAATTGAAAATTTAACAAAGCCGGCAGATAAGAGGTCTAGGTTAGTTTCTTTCACCAATATACATCAATCACTCATAGGTCTTTTGTCTCGAGACTCACTCACTCACTTAGCGTCGCCGCTTATCATTTCTGTCTAAAGGGGGTAATGTTACATGTACATAACCTCATATACTACCTAGGTAGGTAATTAATAATGAGTATCATACTGCTCTAGCTAATAACACTCTGATATCATTCTAGACGTAGCAGCAGCTACGACAGGCGTAAAATATGGAACTATGTAGAGATGAGAGACGAGATGTCTTTTACACGACTGGCAGGTACCTCACTAAACTAACTCCCCCAGATATGCAGACGGTTTATTACGATAGGTCAATAGGTATGTAGGTGAGGTGTAAGTTAGGTACCTAGCCTCTAGCCGATAAGCAGGTATCGATTTATTTACATCACAAGATCAATACAGCGTAATGCCCATGAAGTACCGCCAATGCGACAGCACCAGCATGTACATGATCTTGTCGTACACGGTATCGCGCGGGATCGACTCGAAGCCCGGGGGCCCCCCGTGCTCCGGGAACGCCGCCGCCAGCTTCGCGCTGGCCTCGTCTTCCAGCCGGTACCGCTCCAGGTCGAGGTACGACTGCCCCGGCTCCGGCGGCCCCAGCAGCTCCTCGCGGCAGCGCGCCCGGAAGCGCTCTTCCCGCCGCCGCTCCGCCCGCTCGTCCGCGAACACCGGCTCCGTCGGCTTCCGCGGGTGAAGCCAGTAGAACGGCGGTGGTTTTTCGGGCTCTTCGGCTTTTTCTTCGGGTTCTTCGGCTGGCTTGCCTGCCTCGCCTTCAACCGGCTGCTTTTCTTCCGGTTTCTTTCCTTCCGCCGGGGCCGGGGCAGGGACGGGTTCTTCTCCTTCCTGTTCTTCCTCGGAGCTCTCGCTCAGCGCCTCGACTTCTTGGCGGATGTCTTCGTCCCTGATCCGTCCGTCGAGTTGGTCCCGCAGAGTCCACCACCGCTCGATGTTTTCGTTCCTGGAGTCGACGTACCGCATCAGCCAGACCTTCCTCGAGTCTGCCGTGCGGGGGTTCTTGATGGCCCTCTCGTCGGCGGCGTTCCAGGCCTGCTCGTGGAGTATCCAGTCGTCGAGACGATCCCTCAGGGCCTGGCGCATCCGTTGCGTGGATGGTGGCGGGTCTGAGGCTAGCAGCAATTTCATGTACAGCGTCCGGATGAATTTGAGGGCGAAAGCTGCCACCCTGGCTTCCTTCAGCTTGACGGCGCTGGTAACCATGTCGCTCCTCTTGTGTATCTCTGCTCGCAGGCGCGGGATTTCGTTGTCCATTTGCCGGAGGAGCAGGTCCCGTTGCTGCTGCCTTGCCGGAGGATCCTCCGGTCTGAAGAGGTTTAACCGATACTGCCTCAGTACCTTACTGAATTCGGGTTTGTAGGCAACCAAAGTCTCTTCCCGGTTCCCGACGGTGGGGTTAAGAAGTCTTTCGACATTGGGCCCCTCGGTTATGTTTAAGAAGGCTGCGGTGTAGTAAATGTCTTGGAGGTCGGCTTCAACGTTGTCTATGGTTATGGTGTACTTATCGCTGATGCGCGGCCGCTTGGGACCCGGTTGGATTTCTATTGGCTCAACTGGTGCGGGTCGTTTTTTGGAGTTTGTTGTGGACTGTTTGGGCTCTGTGGGCTCTTTGGGAACTTTGGGAACTTTGGGCTCTTTGTACGCCTTAGCTTCCTTTATCCTCTCTTCTTGCTCAGGGGTAAGCGGACCGCCAATCTTGCGCCTAAGTTCCAACACTCCCGGTCGTTTGCCTAACCCGTACAGCCACTCGTCTGACCCGTATGGGAAATCTATGTATGTAGGACGGGCACCTTCGCGGAACAGTTCTGTTTGTATATCTAGATATACCCGAGGCATACGAAGACCTAGCAACGCCTGATTAAGAATATCTTGTGAAAACATCATGAGCGTGCGGCGATCTTGGTCATTCCGAAGAGGTCTATTATCCAGCTTCATAAATTTGTCGTATGCCCTGAGGAACCTTCTATGGGAAGGCAATGTATCTCCTTCCCATGATTGAGCTGGTGGGGGTGTGTTTCTCCCAAGTAAAAGTGCTATTCTCGTGATGTGTCTTGAGATACGGCCGTCGTAAGAGGTCCACCCGTGGGAGCTGAAGTCTTCGAGGCGAACCCATAACTTGTAGTGGAATTCCTTGAACTTCATCAGGTCTGCGGCATTATCCCTTACAAACTCGTGGCATGTCTCAAGAAACGTGACCCCTCTATTGAATAGATCCTTCTCGTTCTCGCCACCTGCCTTGTGCATTTCCGCGGTAGTCTCGCCAATAAGCTGTATTAATTGTGTATAGAGGTGGAGGAAGTATGGCGCGGCGTGGTGGAAACCGCTGGCTTCGTAGTCGGTAAATCCATACAATCCCGCATTTTCAATCCGCTCGAACCGGGTGGCTAACGATTCTGCCGCAGAACCTCCGCCAGAACCTGCGGGAGGACCTGCGGAAGAGCCCCTGCGAGTAGAACCCGCTGCAGGCGTCGCAGATCCTGAGCCGGCAACAGAAGACATAGCTAAACTTAGTCGAATTAATATATTGCTGGACTGTTTCTGATGACAATTACTGAACTTATTATTATTATTTTTTTACTTCTTTTCCCCTGCTTCTGAACTATTGCCAGGCGCTGAGTGGTCATCCGCAGTAACATAGGGTTAAATGGAAAAGAACTGAGCTGTTGGATGGATTCAACTCATAAATGAAAGAAGTATGTTAATCCACAATTTTTTTGTAGGCTAACAGAAGAAAGCCGCAAGCATGTTGCAAACAAAGGCCAACAACCGTGACTCAGTCATTGATAATTTGGGAAGTTCCTGGCGGAGGTTAAATAGTTGTTGCCGAATCCGTCTATCTTTGTCTTTGAAGACTTCGTACAACTTCAATGTTGTTACTTACTACCTCTTTACTGGTCTTCCTATCCCGGTGAAGTATTATGCAAGCAAAGCCTTGCTTGCAAGGCCTCTTCCGAGATGAAAAGCTCTATGGTTTCCTTTTTTTAGCTTTCGACTTGAAGATATCTTTTGCAGACGATTTTCAGTTCTATTCCAAAACGATATAGTATCGTATAGGCTTAGGTTTCTCATACTCCAACGTATTTTACCTAAATACCTATTATCTCAACGTTAAATCTCGTATATAGCCGTCACGGGAGTAATAGCTGACGATATAATGGCCGACAACACAGTACCTGACACACAACCCGATGGACACAGAGACCCTTTTGTTGTAGGAGATGCAGGATTCAAGGGAGCGGGAGTGTTTGCAACAAGAGATATCGAGGCTGGCGAACGTTTTCTTGTGGAAAGGTGTACGCTCTCCCGAATAGACTATACGGATATTTGTGAATGCACCAATAATCTAATTGCGGCGTATTTAAAATTGAGTACAGAAGATAGGCATGCTATTCTCGATTTACATTACGACAAGGATCCTGCGATGAGGCAGACATATGAACAAACATTCGCGCGTTACGGCCCGCTGTCAGACGCAGAGCTTGAAGAATGCCTCACCGTCGTACTTATTCACATAGCCAACAACTTTGAGATACTGGCTAGTCGAGCCCTACCGGGCGGGGCGAAGACCCTTGCTAGATCTGGTGTCTTCGTCAAGGCAAGCCGGTTTAACCACTCGTGCGATCCCAATTGCTGGTACTCTACCACCTCACTTGAAGGTCATTTCATCTGTGCACCATCACGAGCCATCAAAGCGGGTGAAGAGCTAACAGTCAGTTATATACCTAATCATGCGACGACAGAAACCCGGCAGGAAGAAATTCGAGGGACTTGGAAGTTCGAATGCGGATGTACCAAATGCCAAGGAGTTGATAGTGCATTCGACGCTGAGCTCGAGGAAGCATACGCTTTGGCGTTTCCCAATGATCCCCTCCCTGATCATGAACCATTACCAAAGTCTTTAGGAGAAAGACATGTAGATGCGAGTCGCTTAGTTCGACGTATAGTACTGCTTGAAAAACTGGGCTGGCTCAAGGAATTATTTTTCGCGTAAGTCGCTGTCGGATTAGCAATTATGCCTATCTGTCCCCTTAATGCCCCTTAAATTTTATCATACTAACTATTCATAAAGGTACTTAGATGCAGGCGAATTCTTTTCGCAGCTCTACTTAGACACATGGCAGACGGATCTCGACACTGGCTTAGAGTACGTACAAAGATGTGAGTATTTTTACGATAGCGCAGTCTCCGTAGGGCGGCAAGCTTGGCCACATGGCGACATGACAGTGGAAACTGTCAAGGGATACGCAACCTCGGCGAGAGAGTCAGTTGAATATACGAGACGCCGTATAGCCAGACAAGCAGGATCCTCCACGTAACAGCAAACGTAGTCACTTCCACAATTTCAATCGACAAACTACTAGATGCACGACTAACTGGGAGCCATTTCCGGTAGACATAGTTCATGTATATACCTATATAGTTCACGCACACGTTATATAGTTCAGAGTGCACCGTTACCTACTAGGGAGCAAGATGCTGTCACAATTCCGACAGAAGTCAAGCCAATAGACCCCTATCAGAAGCAATATACATACCTCTCTTAATATTTGACATGATTAGAATACATTTTTCTCTTACTTCTCTTACTTCTCTGGTGATCTAGCGCGTAAGGGCTCTTCATCCTTAGTTCCTTACCATAGCGCCAAAAGACAAGAGGCGCTGGTAGCTATACTCTAGCAACACATCCGTCTCTAGCAAGAAGAGAAAAGAAATGAGCAAGGCAAGACTAGATATCATATATGCTAACCATTCTGTCCACCGCCACGATATGTTCGGACTAAATACGATCCACCCGCCTGCTATCGGTGCGATTATAGAAGCCAGTTAGCTCGAACGAATATTGTTACTTATAATTGTGTAATAGATAATGAGCTATGGACTTACCTGCTACATTTGCCCAGGTAATAATGGGGAAGCAAATGTTCTCTTCACAGGGCGAAATTGACCACGAACGCTCGAACCATTAATGCTGAGTGTTGCGCTGGAAATAAACCGACGAAAAAGCGACATACCACTTGGCTGCCAAATAGGTATCGTGGTCAATGCGGATCCCAAGACAAAGAACAAGTAGCAAAAAGTAGAGACCAAATATGTTGGGTTGCGGCCTACGGTCTCGGGACAGCGGCCCAGCAACGAGAGCACCAGACCCGATACCGAAGAGATACACTACAGCACAGTTCAGTATTTTTCTAGTATTAACTACCACCTATTATATATATCAAGGCTTCAGGCAGGTGTCTTGTACATGCTAGAAGTTGATAACTTTTCAGCTACTTGACTAACGCCAAACCCGGCGCTGGCAATTTTATTCGCTCATGGACTCCGCCGCCCCAACTTAAGCTTGGACGAATATGAGAAAAGGAAAAGATAGCGATGTTCTCTTGCAGCGGGCCACCAGGGGCCAGTTTTTCGGATCAAGCGGATCATCCTCGCCCTGGGGCCGAACTATGATCTGGTCGTTGCCGTGAGCCGTCGTATTACCGTCGGCATCCTTGTCGCCCAGCGCGTTAAAGGGGAAAGCGGGAATCCGATCTAACCGCTTCGACATCGTTAAAGCCATATTATTTATCTTCTTGTAGCCTCGCTCCGTTTATTAGTATTATCCTTTTCGACTTTGCGCTGGAGATCTCCTTCCCATTCGATGATATTGGACGTAAGACCACATGATGATAAAAAAATAATGGGTATAAAAAATATCACTTTATTTTTCCTTCCATTAGAGAACTAAATCATAACGAATTACATACATCTATGAACTCTTAGCAATGTGATGTTTTAAATGAGATGGCTTTCGCTAATGAGTGCATACCTTACCTAAGGTAAAGATGTCAATGATATACTACAATTATAAGTCGCGTGCCTAAAAACTTTGTTTAACAAACGTTGTTAGCATTAACATTAAATTGTATACTCTTGTTAGATCTCTCAAGTATAGACAATTGAACTATTATGTTTCTTAGAGAAATATGTTATAGCGACGCCCATGATGCTATTCATACTGTCATTATGACATCATCGAGGTTTTGAGTACATGGTGGAGTCTTGATTATCTTGGCATAGTAACTGTTTCTCATTCGCCTGATGTGAGCATGTTCGTTAATAGACGTTTAAATTTTTATGATGAGGCTCAAATTTCATCTGTTAGACTAGACGCAACTAATTGAATTAAAGTGCTAGTTTCAATATACGTGTATTGCACTTACTTGAGTCTTAAAACGCTGCGCGAAGTCTTGGCTTCTTGACCCAACGATCTTGTGCCTATAAGAATCATACGTCAAAAGACATAAACATTCAACTTAGTCAACACTCGATGCCTCAACTATCTGAGGTTCGCAAATCATGTAGTGATAAGGAAGTTATGCTTCAACTTAGCAGACTAGGTACCTAATAGATCAACTTAGTAAAAGTCTGAAATGACATTCGCCCTGCCGTATCAATCAACTTGCAAAGAGGTATATCGTAACGAGACATCTTCTTAAACTACCTAAATACCAGGTACTTAAAGTATATACACTATTGACATTCTATGGAGTTAGCAGAAAGAATTAGACTCAAGGGCAGCCGGGGAAATAAATGGGTCTAGGTCCGATATTGTTTCGGTTGTCTGCAGGTTGCCGCAATCCGGTGCGGGACGAAAATAGTCGTAAAAGCAGGGATCATGGTAACGGTTCGAATGGACACGTCCCCCTGGTTAGGTTTCCATTTTCGTTAGTCGTTTAGACGTGATATCGGGTGGTTTCACGGATACACGGAAGTAAATAATAACGAGTGAGTGCATATAACGGGGAACATGTACGTACCTATATATAAGGTAAATGTATTATCTATACCCCATCGGATCCGATAGGCTTGATCTTGGTGGTGCAAGACCAGAGATCGAAACAGACATTACTTAATGTAAGATTGTCCAACGAGGCCCTGAGAAGGAATAGCGTAGGGTATCAACGGGTGGTATGGATTGTGTTGACTTGCATGAGACGGGTGACTAGTTCATGTTGTGAGTTGGAGATTCTCTGTTGTCTCAATGAACGGGGCTTTTTTTTTTTCTCTCTTATTTTTTAATATTTTTTAGGTCTTTCCTTTCCATCTTTACTTAAATTTATTCGTTAGTCTACCCAAGGTACATACGTTCTCCAACTTTTAAACTTAGGTACCTCCTAAGGTGGTTAGCTAAACCTAAAAAGTTAAAAGCCTTACGCATTTAAATGGTGGTCCTTTACCTGGGACTTATGTGGATTTGTGTTATTTCTCCGCCTTGGGTTCTTTCCATGTGATGGTTGCAGCCCTGCGAGGCTCCCATATCCCCCATATCTAAAGATCCCTGTGTTTCCATCTTCGCTTATCCCGCTGGTACCTGTGTACCTAGTGTACTAATCCATATAAAAGGGGACCCGCAGTACATTATGTACACATACCTACCTCACATGTACGGAATACATATTAGTACCTAGAAACCTAATATAAAGTTAGATGCTTAAATGAAAATCTCTCTTCTACCTACATACAACTATTTTTTCTAGATCTATTCTACTACTAACCTCCCTACCTCTTACCTACTTAATATATAAAACTACATCATTGCATCCTTGATAATATCTACTCATATGTATTATTAGGGCTCCAAATTCTCGTCCATCTCAATTTGTCTTATTTCTTGGTCTCTCTCATCTTGTAGGACCATTCCCCCCTTTCCATTAGGTAACCAACCACAGTATTCCTAATACCGTGCGTAACACCCACAAATACTGTCTATTTACACGGATCAGTGCACGGTCTCGGCCTGTGCCGGACAGCCGGGTTAGCGCGCTGCCTTGTGCCGGAAAACCGATCAATCCAGTCCAGGGAATTTCTTCAAACCGTCATACTTGGCATTGAAGAAAGCGACCCGTCGCATCAAGAAGACGATCAACTCTTTTCACATCCCTATCTTCCCCCAAAAAGGAGAGTTTCAGTCGCCGGAAGATGACGAGCCATTCATTAATTCCATGATTGAATACACTCTTTACTCACCTTTCAGCTACGCTAGGGCTACGCTGTCCACCTCGCATGATGAGCACGTCTCCGAGCGTCGAACTCACCACCGTTAGCAGCACAAGCTCCAGGCGCGACCAGGGCCAGGCCAAGAGCAGTCGCCGCCAGTCGCCGCGGCGGACGGGACATCCAGCAGAGTCGGGGCTAGAGGCCTTACCACTCGAGCTGCAGTATTTTATCATCTCTCATCTGGACCTGACGAGCTTAATCACCTTGCGGGAGACATGTCCCTTATATCGCCAGATCATCACCGTTGATGTCGTCCGCAAGCAATTCACTACCCAGGATGGCTTCCCTCACACCGTCCTGAGCAGCTGTTGCACCGAATGTCTGTGCATGCCGGGACTTGATCGCTTGATCGTGGATACGACGCGTCCGGAGGACGCGTGGCGGTCTATCTGTTTCCGATGCTGGCGTTATCGGCTAAGTCGTGAGAACCAGCACAAGCAGTGGCCGCTGGTACAAATGGTCAACGGCGACTATGGCTACATATGTCATTTTTGCACTTGGCCGGTCCATAGCGGCAATTCTAATAGCCGCATCAAAAACATGCATGCCCCTTGCAGGGTGAGGAGGCTCGTCGTAGTTATATCGTGGTTAATCATGGCCATCATACAGTTTGGTCTCGGCATGCTGGCTGCTGTGCTGGCGTGGACTATGTTCCGAAATACATCGGCAGTTCTGATACCTGCCACCGTATGTTTTTATCCTTGTCTCTCTGGCGTTTAGTCACTCTAACAGCCAAATTCTTAGATCGATTTCTGTCTGGCGGTAGTGGCAGTAATGATCTTCGTGGTTCGTGTAGGCACTACGAACGAGGTCACATATACGCGTGCGCTGGCTACAGAACTAGTTATCACATTCATCCGCATTCCTCCTGTTACTTACACCGCACGCGAAACCGTCATTTCGGAGACGACCCAAGGGGGCCCACTTCCCAAATTTGGGTTTGGCGTCTTTTTAATTAACCTGTGAGTCCCCCTTTACTCGAGTGATATCCCACTCACTTGATGACGGATATGATACTAAACACATTCCTTTATTAGAATATTCCGGTTTTTAGACACGGTTGGCTACACGTTGCTGAACTGCGGTTATGATCCAAGGAATATCTTTTTAGGCCCCATGCCTCTAAGGAAGAAAATATTGTATGGATTTTGCACGTTCATGGTGTGGTTCGCATTTATACCATTTTAAAGATAATAGTTATAATAAGTGGCGGAAGCTTTGGGCTTGCCGCGTTGACGACAATAGCAGCACTAGATGCTGCAATGCTAGCGATTTTGCCATCACTTCGAGCGTATGTCTTTTTAAATCTTCCTCATGTCCCTACTATGAGCATTATGACCCTAAAGGGTAGTTAGACTAGCAAATAGGGAATCAAAAACATTTCGAATCATGCAACCCAGCGTGCTCGATAACTACCTTTATGGTACGCTCGTATCAAGACATTGCATAATATCATTGTGACCCTGCATAGGCGGAAAGTTATGCGCGCCTGTCGCAGTTGTCCTTCGGGGCTTTAGTCGGACATTAAGAATTCTCGATAGTTGAGGCTTTTATATTGTCTAGCTCTATCCGTGGTGAAATATCATGTCGGTCAGCTAGCTCCAGATACTTTATGTATCTGTCGGTTATGAAGCCCTCATAACAAATGCGTGAGTCAGGGTGGGCTACTTGGGATTGAGAACCTCCTCTAGTATGGCAAAGGAGTGAACATTTGGGGCTGAGATGAGTTCCCATAGCGTTCAAACAAAGACGAGACGTATTGGTCGGGTTTATCGTTATTGTTATAGGACCGGCCAGTTATGTTTATATCTACCTGAGAGGCACCTATCTTCCTACTGTTCAAGCGCACTGTGACGGATAGTAGGTATCTTGGATACCGAGGCCTTATGACTAATGATCTTAGTCTTCACGAACAGGTCAATATTACATTACGTAGACTCCGGTGCAGACTAGATTAGGTAGGTGTTTTATTCCTCGCTGTTGTCTAGGTACCTATCTATCCTACTTAGGGTTTCAACCTGGTCTCACCCCAAACCTCCATCAACCGAGCAGCTCGTAAAGCGATATCCCTCGCTTCTGGGGTGCTCGTCTTCTCCGCCTCCTCTTTGAATCTCCTCGTCCAAAACGACCAGCGGTCCAACCGCAAACCCGGTTCACCACGGAAAAGTGACCCGCCCTTGAGCAGTCGGCGGTTCTCGTTGGAGAGCTCCGGGGCCGGGTTCGCGGCCAACGCTTCGACGAGGACCGGGCCGGAGAATTCGATATACATTGCTGCGGTCACCAAGTCCCTGTCCAAGTCGCTGCTCTTGGGTGGATTCTTCTCCTCCTCGAGCGCGTCGCGCAGCATCCATATCGGCTGGTTCTGCCAGTGGATCACCGCTGCACCCATGAGCCTGGCGGAGAAAGCGTGGAACCGTATCCAGGCTTGATCGATACGAATTTGTTCCTCCTTGGCCTTCGATCTACCAGGTCCATTAAGATATTCCCTAAAGGCGGCTCCCAGAAATGGAAGGTCAACCCAGAGCCGGGACTACCCCGATTGATTGATTAGTTTGACAAACGAGACGTAGTTGGTAGGAAGAAGGCTCTGCTAGAAACATACTTCATTCACAGTGATTCCCGTATCAGACAATAGAGTCAGCCCTCTTAGAACACTGACAAGCTTATCCTGTGCGACGTGGTCGTGCGGTATCTGCTCTACGACAGAAATGATGTCTTGCCACAGGCCGAAAAAGAAGCCGTCGCCCAAAGTCTTGCTGCCGTTCTCCGGCTCCGGTACAAGTTTTGCTATGGAGGCAGCTACTTGCGCAGCGGAGACGGGACTGTCTAGTTGGAGATAGTCGTTGAGGGTATTGAAGACGGTGTCGTCGGTAAGAATACCCCCCTTGATGTTTTCCCGTTGCAGTTCAATCTTCTTACCAGCCATAGTGTAGTGTAGTTAATGGCGGGGTAATTATCTTGGTGTTAAGAATTTTTGAAGATTTGACAGGGTTGAGTGATGATAATAGTTATGACATGAGGTTGGAGATTACCTGCACAAATACTTCTAGGTACGGGATTATGTATTATACGTAACCTAATGTATGCACCTAATATAAACTGAATGCAAGAGCAAGAGCAAGAGCAATTACAACGAGCGAAGGAGATACTTGGAAACAGCACGTGTCTGCGTGCTGGGTCTCTTGGCGGACAACTACTATGTACTTTACATCATAGTGCTTAAAAACAGCCTAGCTTAGCTCAAAGAGGAAGGCAACGAATAGTATTACGCGTAGCACTTGTCGAACAGATACTATAGTACAAGATGTATGTGTACGGTTTACTCATATAAGAGGGACCCAATGCATGCATTCATTCATCGCTACATAACCTAAGCGCCTAATCTAGCTAAATACTAGAATTATGCTACAGAAACCAATCCACCAATACTTGCCAGACGACCAACGCTAGAAACAATAAAAAGTCCTCCAACCTATATAATTGAGATGCGATTTCTCCTTTCGACGCCGCCAGCTATGCATGAAAAAAGAAACTATTTAAAAAAAAAACAATACTCAATGATACCTAGATCTTATCAACATATAAGCTTCGAAGGAAATTCGTTAGATGGTTATAATCAAGTGAAAGCAAAATGCAAACAATATACGGTCATGATACCGCGCTTTTTTTTTTCACATTTCATCACTTTTGTTTCGGCAGGGTGTCCAACCCCATAGAGCCCAAGATGGTTGTCATGCGCATGCGAGATTCATGCTCGGATAGTGGCGTTGGAGATTGCGGCGGTCTCAGGTGCTGGTCTGCAGCGTGGAGGTGCGGGTTTAGGAATCGCTGCAAGTTGTAATTCACGTCGAGGGGAACGTTAATATCGGGTCGCTGGGCTACTTCGGGACCAGCTTCTTGACTACGTAGATGATAGATATGAGCAAAGTCTTGACTTATCGACTTGAAAAACAGCTTTAATTTGAAGAATATTTCTTATATGAGATGACCTTAGATAAGGCAAGGCATATAAATATAAGTAATAAATTTAAGTACTCACTTCAGATACTGAACAGCACATGTGGAACCGTCGATTTGATCGTTCTTTGCCATGATGCAATTTGCCAATTAGAAACTTTAGTAATCTAATTGAACTTTCCAACGCTATGGTTTAAGGCTGGTTTTGGCCTCGTCTAGCGTTCGGCTGCAGCCGCTGGCAGGAAAAGCCGGACCCTGCGTTGAAAGTGTGTGGGGTACCAGGCCGATAAGATAGGCACGGCAGTAACAAAAAAAAAAAAAAATTGTCCTAAAACTCCAGTCGTATTTTCGTGTTTTGTAAGACAACCTAAGTCTTTCCCACAGCTGAACAGATACAGCACCAACAACAGGGAATAAAACGAGTAAAAGTCACAAAAACGACGTAGTGATTTGAGACGATATAACTTAATAGGTCATTGATCGACGCGAGAGTAACTGAGCCTGCCGATCGAGGGCAACTTGGAGGGCCAAACCTGGGATTTATGTAGAGAATCCAAGGAGACCTCTCAGGATCAACCCTCCTCTTGCCCAACTCCCCCGGCTGCCTGTATGTCGCACCGCGTGGTGCTTCTACGGTCCAAAGATCCGTTTGGCATTCAACCTTAAACCCCCCACAACAGACATAAGGCCCGGCGTGACAGGAGTCGTTAGTTACCTCTACCGGGAAGGAAGACGCTATTCCCCTGACGTGTATTCTCGGGGATTAGATGATGTCACTGAGATTTACGTACATCAATCGTTATCTCGTCAGCGTGTGGTAGAATAGACGTGGAACATTAATCTCAGGCCCATGGAAGCATGCGGCTGATGGGCTTTCGTAGGACGTTTATTCCGCCAGCTTTAGCCCCCACCGGCGGTGCTGATCCCCTGCCTAGTTGGAGTCGCAAGCCAACAACCCGGCCCAGTCAACTAAACAATTATGGGCTGATTTTTTTTGCTTCTCTCTCAGTTTGTTTAGAATCTATCTGACTGGCAGGAGTTGATCGCCACGTATGAGAGAAAGTAGATCGGGCAAACTTGGAACCCAACTGCCATGAACGACATCTCAATCCGTGTGTCTCCGTCCCTGGGGCCTAGCATTCTCGTCCTCGTGATCACAATTTCGAAACGATCATGGCCTATTCTCACCGGAATATTGATTTAATAAGACCATTATACTACTACAAGTTAATAGGTATCTCGTCAAAAGACGATAGTGGCAACGTTCCGCCATGGTGATCCTTTGAATGCCTTCTTCAAAAGACCCCCCACCAAGTAACGAGCCTCCTTAGGACAATTGAAGCTCACCGAAAGAGAATGACGTTGATTGTTTAAAAAACGTCACAATGCAGAAGGCTTCAATTGTAAAGCAATGACGATGACGTACGGATGGTCGTGGAGCTAATTGTTGAGCTAGGATGTGAAAGTAACACGCTTGTTGGAATTGGACCGCGGTCTGCAGCAAGAATTTCCAATTCCAAAGTCTAGAACCCTGAGATTACGTGCGAACAATACGCGGACAAATGAATTGGCTAGGGGGAGTCTAGGTAGAATTTAGATCTAAGTCTAGACTCTTTGGAGTTGTACAAAAAGATATGAAGTTTACAAGAAGGGGGAAAACAAAATGGACTTTTTTTTTTGTGGTGGTCTTCGACCAAGCTACGTCATTCAGCTGAAAGAAAGCGAAGGTGAAGGGTAACTTACCCCTGGGGACCCTGAATGACTGGCGTATGCAAGTGCAAGGCAACGGGACCCCTTAAAATGAACTAATGGGGAATGGCTCCAGGAAACATCGAGTTGTGGGAAATCTCGATGCTCCGCAATCGTGAAAAATATGGCATGCGCACAAATCATGGACTATGGTGGCATGGGGTTTGTATGCCTCCAGTTACCCCTCTTCGATTGTGGGCCCATGATCCTTTAGCGAATCAGATAATCAGACCATTGCTGCCTACGAATCAAGACTTGTTTAGGCGAATAAAAAATAATGTTAAACTCCGGCGAACCATAAGGCGAACCAGTTTCCAGCTACACTTACAACATCAGATCAGATCATTAGAATCAGATTTCGCCTAATGAAGAATAAAAGAAAAAAAAAATTAAAGAAAAAAAAGGCAAACAGAACACCAGCAAGTCGGATTGATAACAAATCTGCCTATCTGACACATCAATTATGACTTGTCAGGCACAATGTCTACCTACATGGAAGGACGTTTTCCTTACTCCAGGTCTAGGATGTGAAGCCACACGGAGGCCCCTCGACCTGGGTTGTATCTACACCATGTCCAGCGAAGAAACGAGAAAAAAAAAAGAGAAAAAATAATTCTTCTAGTGGTCTTATTCTGATGTCAGCGTGCATTTCCAATTGAATCTTGGCAATGAAGATTTCAACCACCAAGGCTTACGCAAACTGTCGCAAGTCCCGCATCATCTATCATCAGAGCATTGAGCGAGCTGGACTTACGCCACAAGGCAAGACTATCATTTCTCGAACCCCTCCTTCTATGTACAATTCAAGACCCGTCCAGCTTCTTTCGCACCCAGCATCGCTAATGATACGTTACGTACCTATGTATGTATGTACGAACGAATCCCCTGACCGCTATCCTCTATCCAAGTGAATATGACGAGTTTTACTAACCCCTTACGAAGTCTCAGTGAGCGGTACTAAGTGTCCATGAACTTTCCCATGAGTATTTCTGGCCTGGCCCGGTGATCTGCTTCTCGACTCGTCCCCATTCGGGACTACATTAAAATTCCGTGTTAGCTTACACCATTCTTAACCACTGATGTTTTATAGGCCCGGGGAAGAATTGAAGTATGTCGGCTGATAGAGGGGAAGGGATAATCTTACTGATTGATACCATCCACATAATCTTGAGCCTCAATAGCGACACAGGAGCTTCTGCCCACTTTCTTAATGGCCTTAGTACCTTGCGTACTCTTCAAATTGGCGGTCCCATCCATCCAATTGCATGAGTAAAGCACAAATCCGGACTGATCGGTGCGCAGATCAGCGGTGATGCCAGAAAATTCACTAGCTAAACTGACGACTACGGCATCCTTAGGTGCGTTGTCGATCAGGAAGTAACCGTTATATCCCTCACAGGCGCCGCCGCCGCCGCAGTTACCAGAGAACTTAGGGTCACTTTGCGCATGACCCAGGAATAAACCTGGGCGACTAGCAAAGTCGTTGATGCTATTAGGCGCCGCAGTTCCAATCTGACCCGTAGGCAACGCACCGTCGTCCGCGATCAGGTATCGTTTTGAGTACGGCAAGTACAGAGTGTGGTTCCAGATCTTGTTTGTATCTGGGTTCTTGAAGGCATCCAGATTAAAGTAGGTGTGCTGGGTTAGCATGAGCGCTTTGCAGTCCAAGTCAGCATCGTCAACACACCGAACGCTACGTCACAAGGGGAAATAAACGTACGAGTCCTAGCCTCAGGCGACGTCGCCTCCATCTTGATCTTCCATGTGCTCCCGCTGACGCTGTACGTCACTTGGCCCTGGACAAGACCCAACATTCCTTGGGACGAGTTCGACGCATCCTTGACGGTGAAAGTGATGGAATCTTTGGTAGCATCAGTCACGTTCCATACACGATACGACCAGTTGTTCGTGCCGCTATGTAACGTGTTGCTCCCATCGTTGATCTGAGTGTCGTATGTCTTACCATCGATCGTGTATCTGCCCTTACCGATGCGATTGACATAACGACCAGGGATGCTGTTATAGACAGGATGTCCTGGGTCCTTAGCTAGAGCCAAAGGTTAGTTAACTCTCTTTCTTTCATTTTCCTTAAGGACGATATATCCGGGACCCAATTACGATAATAGTCTATATCATCATATCCAAGTACTACGTCGACATCCTCTCCGTTCTTATCTTTGACGAAGAGGTTAGTGAGCGTGGCTCCGTACGGAATAAACTGGAGTGTGCTCAAATGTTAGTTCATCTCCTAGCTTCGTCAGAAGTATATCGCCGAACCTGAGCTTTTATTCCCGACGAAGATATCGTGTACTTCCCGTCCTTCCCGGGATTCGGGGCTTGGGCAACGACAGAGGCGGCTGTCGCCAAGACCGGCAGAGCTAGCACAGAGCACCGCATCTCTTCAATTGGTCCCTGTTGAGCGAGGCTGGAAAGAGGTAGGTATCACAAAACTCAACTTCCAGCTAGTAGAACAGAGTGGACAATAAGCACACATCCACAAGACAATCCTCGAGGGACACTTGGCTTATTACTACTACCATATCCCAGTCTTTTCCCACGTAGCCCCTCTCTTCCCCATATTCCCTTAAATAGTTAACCGCGGAGGAAGGGTAGTATACTGGCTAGCGCCATCAGTAAGAGCGCGTGTGTGAGCGCAGCGCTTTTCATATCGTACCATACCGAGAGAGGCGACTCGGGATGAACCAGGGGGTACATAGTGGAATGATGGGGGGTTAAATAGGCTGATATAGCAGCAGCCAGTCATCTCACGACATTTCCGGCTTCCCCTTGGGGAAATATTTGGAACACCAACTTGCAGATTCGGGGTAAATTCTACCGCGGACAGAATATGTGCGTCTGGCGGCTCAAATATGCTCGAGATTGAGCCATGGGCGTTTATGTCTTAGGCGCCTTGGCACATCTGGCTTAGGAGCAAACATGAATTCATATAAGTTCATATATGCCGCGGAGCTCCCAACGGGCCTACGCGGCACTCACTATAGTATCAATAATACATAACGAATTAGATGTACTATAAGCGGCATTCTTTATCTTGGGCCCTTCGATTCAACCACAAGGTCCATGTGTTATATTTAGTTGTAATCTCATAAAGTTATTGAACGGGGACAACGTTTCCTTAGTGTTCATCTAGGAACCTATCCTGCATTGTTCCAGTCACCAAGAGTGCTTTACTACCTCCTATATCTGCAATGGAGAAACATAAGTGGTTGCACCTTAGGTTAGGTACGCAGCGTGACAATAGAACTTTACAGTTGTCGCAAAAGTTGCTTGGCATTTCACAGCTTCAAAGCGTCATCAATGCCTCTTGGACAAAGCAAAGAAATCCCACTAGGTAACAATCAATTATGTTGAAAACAGATAGCTTTGTTAATGCAAATTTCTTTTACATTCGAATTTGAATGGAACGCTACCTTGAGCTTCAAATAAAGGGGCTTGATGCTTCCGGTCACCTCAGTACAATTATGCGTCACAGGTCCTGATTAAATCCATCGTCTATTCTATCAAGTGTCTCGCATACAATCAAGCGTGAGAGAGGTCCATAGAGCTGTCTTTCATAGAGTAATTGCATGAAGGAAAAAAGATCGTCGCGTAGAGATTATTTCTAACAAGCACGACTAACCTAGGAGGTATTACCTGACCTAACCTAACCTAAAGTCACGATGGCTTCCCGCTCGGGGTCCCAGCGACCAAAGGTCAAGCCGACGGCGGACGAGAACCACCGGGTGATCCAGAGCGTGCGGCGGGAGCGCCACAGGCACAACGCGGAGATGCGCCGCGTCAGGGCCAAGGTCAGCTCACTGGAGGCGGAGCAGGACAACCTGTGGGTCGAGAACAAGCAGCTCCAGGAGGTCCTGGATCACTTGCCCGACCAGACCTCGATGGACGAGTACGTCGCGCGCATCGACGCCTTGCAGGACGAGAACGATCTCCTCCAGGAGGAGATCTGGAAGCTCAAGGGCTTGTCGACCGACCAGGTAAAGGAGCTGCGGGGAGAGGATCTCCCGACGCACCCCCGCAACAGTATCACTCCGGAGGAAATCGCCGTGGTAAGTGAGAAATCTTCCCCTTTTTTCCACTTTTTTTCTAAAACAGAGTGTACTTACTAAATATGTCTTTGTTGCATATTATAGGAATATAGAAACTTCATCGACCAGATCATGAACCTCATATACTCGTGGGTCAAGCCGCTGCTCGAAAACGAGCGCTGGGCGCAGAAGGTAGTCGAGACGGCGCAGAAGGACGGGAGCAGCGCGGCGCTGGTGCGGTGGCTGGACGCGTACCCGGACATCGCGCGGCTGTCGTCCTTCCACGTGTCGACCGAGTACGTGCTGCTGGCGAGCATTATCCGGTGGGTCGACCAGCACGTCTTCCGCGCCGAGCTGCCGGGGGTCGCGCCCGAGCTGCTCGCGCTGCTCGCCCGCGTCGAGGACTCCCTGGACAACCACGTCACCCCGCGCCAGCGCGCCCTCGAGCTCCGCCGCTGGCGCCAGACCACCTACTTCGCCCTCGTCCACCACCCCGAGTACAAGGGCGCCCGGTTCGCGCGCGAGGCGGCCCTCGGCGAGGCGCTGCGCGGCATCCTCGCGTTCCTGCCCGCCGTGCGCGACGGCGGCGCCGAGGTCCTGCAGCAGCTGCGGGACATCGTCGTGTTCCCGGCGCTGGAGCTCAACGAGCTGTTCGTGACGTCGACGGACCACTTCCAGCTGCAGATATGGGACTTCCTTTCGCGCAATAATGGCAGCAGCAGCGGTGGTGGTGGTGGTGGCGGCTCGGGAGGAGAGGAGACGGCGACGACGGTCGAGCAGCTGTGGGAGTACCGGGACTGGATCGAGCTGGAGGACGCGCTGGACAACAACTCGACGAAGGTGACGATCGCGGACAAGAGCGTAGAGGAGGCGGCGCGGCGGCTGGACCCGGTGTGCACGGTGGTGCCGGCCGTCGTGCTGACGAGCGCGGACGACTTCGACGACGTGACGCTGTGCTGCCGGGCGTACATCATCGCGGCGTGGGGGCTGCCGCAGGCCAGGGAGAGGAAGTGGAACGAGCAGGTGCCTGGGTTCTTGAATGGATTCTTGGCCTCTTGATGAATGTTTTTATCATCATCATCATTATTATTATTATTATTTTTTAAAAAAGACTTAAAAATTGAAGAAGGTAGATCAGTGTAGAGTTATGATTAAGAGAAGAGAAGAGAAGAGAAGGGGACGGATGATGATACGATTCTTTGATGATCAGAGAAAGAAGTATATATATCTACCCAAGGTAGGTACCTACCTACCTACCTCCATCTACCTAGCATTAGTTTCGGAAGACTCTGTGGCAGTTAACGCGTCTGGGAGCGTATCCAGCACTTCGAGGAAGTCTTGGAACTGGAAACCACTTCGCGATCTCTTTTCGTGTCATTCGCATTTAATGGGTTAAGGGTAAAATCATTATTTTAGCGAGTTTAACGTAATAATACTACTACAATGTTTTACTCTTCCAACGAGAATGCCTATATTAGGTGATACGTATCAACGTGAGTCCTTCGAGGCTTCGACCAACTACCCATTTTGCCCGTATGGTTCTCGATAGGCGTGGACATTATTCTTTAAGTAGATAGTTAAAGGCCTTGGGAGCTTATATACACATCTTCGAAGCCTCGATGTTCTTAAACCAATGAAATCTATGTCATCAGTTCGTTCCAGGTGTAGTCGTTATTGTCCTTAACGTGGATTTACTCTTCTAGGTACAATACAACAAGGCTGAGTGAGAATCATGCGATAACACTGCAAACTCTCCAATAATATACTCAGTATTGATACTCGAAAACCATTGATAGATTTCTACTTTAAAACTCTCGTGTCTTTGAGACACATATCTTGATAGTACTATATGAATGATGAGCACAGATATAGAAACCCCGATTTCCACGCACAACTCTGGCGGGAAACCTACCAAGCCGACTTTATGTAAAAGGAGGTAAGTTATACACACAGTGGTTACATTAGAATGGAAGCAGTATTGGGTTAGGTACCTATGTAGGTAATTGCTTTTCCAAGAACATGCATGTTTTACCCGCTGAAACGTTTTCCATGGAGTAGTGGACTTTGGAACCGCCACCGACTAGGTTAGACTTTGGTAGCCAATTTATTAACCCATAAGTTCTAGAAGGTATTATTCCAAGTGTTCGGGAACAATGTTAATTAATTGATTGTCTACCTAAATATAACTCGGTACGTCATATCATACCATAACAGTACGGCGCAGTTATGGAACGCCCCCACATAGAATACACAAAGAATTAGAGTACCCTCGACAGGGTCTTTTTTTTGTGGATGGGTGAACAATATGATATAGCTTGTCTCTTACATCGGTCACTGCTACAAGCTTTATGCCATGTAAAGGATTGAGGTAAGGAGCCATATCTGAGCTAACAGCGACGGTAATATTAAAACCATCAAGTTTGACATAGCACTCCTCATTAGCAATGTTATCTTACAGAACAGTTGACACACATAGAACAAGACTAATCACGTAACGTAAACTGCAGAGGCGCGAGCCAGGCTTGCTTTCTGAATAACTCTTGTTCGTCTAATGCTAAACATAAGACATGAGTTCGAGAATAATTAAGGCAAACATCCACTGGTCCTTGATTGCGGACAAGTTGATGTTAACCAATACCACAAAAGAGACAGAATGGCTAATTCCATCATATCCTTTTTTTCCCTCCTCGCCAACAACATGACTTAGCAGGTCATTTTACTTAATGCCTAGCTAACAGAGTACCTCCTCTAGTTGTCACGATACCTGAAGGAAAATTAAGGTTGGAGCCAAAAGGGCCAAGAGAGAATATAGGAAAAAACAAAGAGCGAAAATCCGAACTCTTCATAGAGTAAAACGCCATACAGGTCCGTAAACAGATAGGTCAAGGTATAAGCAAAGTCAAATATGCACAGGTAGAGGAGGGGGAGTTAGAGATAACTCATCCTTCCTCGGTAAAGCCTTAAACAGGCAGAAAATCTTGGAACATGTCGCCACCGACTCCGTACATGCAACAAGTTAGTTAGTAATACATAAACATTCAGCGGGTGCCACCGAGAGCGCTGATTCTAGCACCGGAAGGACGGTGAATGAGACTTTCGGCGTGCTTGCCGACCACACCCGGCTCTTGCGGCAAGGTCTCGCTTTCGCTTCGTTCAGCTAAATCATCTTCGTCATCCTCCACGATCTTGGTGGGGATCTCGTTGTGGATGTTGTACTGCTGGCTCGATCGCTCAGGAGTTGTCATAGTCGATGCCATGGACATCGCTGTGCTGCTTCGGTTGGGAATCAAGTCCGGGGTCGCAGGGATACTAGATACGCGCCCGGAAGGGTGTAAGTGGCTGTCATCGCCAACTTCAGAAGGGGCGGCCCAATGTCCGTCGTCGCTAGGGGCCATAGATAAGTTGCTTGCTCGTCGGTGCGATCTAGAGGATTCGATTTCGGCATCTTGGGCCAGCTGAAGGCCCTCAACGGCGGCCTGACATTGCTCTGCAATATTCCTAATAATGTGAGAAATAGCATCTGTCTTGTCCTTAAGGTGTCGATCGGCCACGTCGGAAAAGCTGGCAGTAGAATGTCGCTTGTTTGCCCGGCTCGGGTTCCTCAAATATTGGCCTTTGAAACTCATTAGCGACCAAATTTAATAGGTCAATAGGTTATGTAACTTACCATCTTGGTCTTCTTCTTCCTCCTCAAAGCCCTCTTCGACCTCACTGGCCAAGTCATCGCGTGTAGTCAAAGACTGAACCAAGTGCTCCATATGGTGCGACTGTCCTCCGATCAAGCTACGTAAATGCAAGACCACACGACGTGCTTCATCACGTTGCCGGATAATGGTGACGTTGGTGTGTTGAAGGGCGGCCAATTCCTTCTTGTTTCGCTTACGTTCGCGCTCAAGTTCCTCGGCAATCTCCTGTTGGAGAACGAGAGCTTCGAGAGCATCGTCTCGCTGCTTCTCAGTACCAGTAAGGCGGACTGAAAGACGGGCGTTGTCATCTTTCTGTTGGTCAATGAGACCACCGAGTCTCCTATTTTCTCTCTTGTGAGTCTCAATCTTAACCTTCAGGTCTTGAGTTTCTTTAGTAAGCGTCTCAGCAAAGGCTTGGAATTTCAGGAACTGTCATGTATGTCAGCATTCAACGTTTTTTTTTTATTTTTTATCGCTCGGTAGAAGATATTTACCTGCTGCTTCCAGCTTTCTAACTCTTCAACTAGGTAGTTATTCCTCTTTGTGACTTTGCTAAGTTCTGTCTCCATACGACCCTTAAGGTTAATGAAATCTTGCCATGCCTCCATGGCATCACGGGAATATTGATTGCGTTCTCGGACGATCTCGTTCAAATGCCTCATCGAAACCTTTGTCATTAGAGGCTTCTTGACGGAACCGCCCAATACAGCCTTCAAGCCAGTGTTACGACCCTATTAGAAGTAATTAGCATTGCTGTTAACAAAATTTGGCTGCGAATCGTGGCACCTACCATCTTCTCACAGACGTGATCCATCACGGCCATTACAGCATCTTGATTCCACCACTCGGGATCCTGAATAGATTCGACTTCGCCACGCATAACGATGATTTGACCCGCAGGTACCAGCTTTCCTCCACCATAGGCAGAACGCAAATGTTGAGGAACACCGGAAGGTGTAACATCGCCGTTCAAAGCTTGTGTTAGTCGCGTCACGAACTTGTTGCGCTGGTTCGCATTTAGGGCAGTCGGAGGACTGGATGTCAGCACAAAGTTACGATCTAAATCAACAACAAGAGCGTCGTTCGGAGCAGTGAAAAGAGACCTGCACTCGGCAGTAACACCAAGGATGTATGGACCCGGCTCCTCCACTAATTCCTTAGCATGGCGAGCGTGAACAACGGGCACGTAAAGGCCACTCCATTCATATACTCGAACGCAGAAACGAATAGTCTCAGCAGCCATTGTTAGCATAGCGGGATAGTGGCTGACAAATATGATACGCCTAGTAGGAGAGATGGCCGCCTCGATGACACCAACAATGTTCGGGATCGAAAGACAAGTCCATAAAGGCCACATAGCGAAGTTCTGGAAACCGGTCGGGGACGAAGGGAATTGATAGCAGAGGGCGTAATCCTTCATGTCGATTCGGACCAGATCGTTTAATCTCGGTGCGGGGAAACTAAGAATTCGCGATACCTCTTCAGCGTGGAAGAGATTGGTGGCCTTGTTCCAGTGAATCCACATCCCTCGCAAGTAGTCGCCTAGAAGATTGTACAATGGGTATCGAGAGAGAAAAGACAAACAGTACGGAATCCAGTAAGTCTCATCGGCGTTGTCGTAGTAGTCAGTCTCGGTTCGCTTCCTCAAGTCCCTAATGGTCTCTGCTCGCTTCTCATCCGCCCTTGACCATACGCGCAGACAGATACCGTAGAGTGTGTGAGATGAATCCTGCTGGAGAACAAATGCATGGTGAACGCAGTGGGGTTGACTGCGGCCGGTACAGATTTCGACATCGTGGGGAAAACAAGCCTAGTCTTGTTAGTTTTTGACAAAGTCAGGTTTAAAGGAATCATACCCTCATAGCAGCGTGCAAGGCTCGGGCAACTTCATTGTCCTGTTCAAGGCGGGGGCTGCTACCAAGAATCTCCGGAAGCCAGAATTGTCCAACTGCACCTTTCATGTGGCCGATCTTTCCTTGTGTCGGGGCGGGAGCCTTAACCCATTGAGAAGGCTCTCGGCCGACACCGCAGACCATATAGGCATGGGTTAGAGTCTTCGGTGTTCGCTGCTGGGGCTTCGAATTGAGGGTCGACGGAATCGGCTGGGTGATACGAGAGTGAAGAGATGAAGTCCTGCTCGGGATGATCAAGTTATTGTCGCCCTGGTCGCGCGTACCCGGTCGAGTGTCACGATCGCTTGTACGCGGGCGCGTAAATGATGAATGCGTATTAAGTGAAGGGGCCATGATGGGCAATTGGGTACGTTGAACTCGTTGAACTCGTTTGTTGCTATCCTATGGAAATATCGAATTAAAGAATAATAGAATGGTAACTAGACAGACCAAGTTACTGCTCCTGTCAGAGACTCTCTCTTGAGATTTTGTTTCCGGATCTAATAGACCAAGAAACAAAGCCACCAAGCTGCTCGACGACGGCGACAAGCTGCAGCTTTGCTGTCTGAATGGGAGACAGAATACAGTCCTTGCTGCAACTGCTTAAGTGGGGGGAACAGAAAAGCAGAAGGGAGAGTTGGAAAAAGACGAAGCTCTCTAGGAAGAGAGAGGAAAGGAGAGACTAGACAGGACTTGGAGGCAAAAAAGGGCCGTCGGTTGGTAGAAAAGGGTTTGTTCGGAGACAGTGCGCGAGAAAGGGATATTTGCCCCGAACGAACGAGAGAAAAAAAAGAAAAAAAGAGTCAATGCGCTCCCCGAATTGTCCCTCTTGTATCGACCCCTGGTAGAAGAAGAAAAAGAATACCTGGGTTGCCTGGTAATGAACGACGACGAATTGGAACGGATTGGTCAGTGACGAAGTGTGACAAGACCTACAAGGCCTACAGGGCCTACAGGGCCAAACGATAGAAGGGTCAGCTTCAAGAACGGCCGTGCTAGCTGCCGTGTAACAAAGCACAATTTTGCTAGGGGACGGGGAAATAATAAGTGGAGTTGCCTGCAAGAGATTGCAAGATAACTGAAAATGACTGGCGTGCCTTAGGGGATCGACTCTCAAAGGGTGGCAGGTACCTAAGGTAAGTTGTATATCGTTGGAGATATTATGCAGCAGTCTGATTATGCAGGCCGCGAATGCAACCTTAGCCTCGTACTCAGTACCTCTGACACCTAATTCAGCAGGGGGGGTTGGAGCTATCCCCGGACTAGCTCTCCTGTTAGAGCAGCATTAGCCTAGGGCCCCTGGCGTCTTCGAAATTTCGGCAGCCCCACCAGATTTTACATCCTAACAAATAACGTGCTTACTTTCATAACTAAAGTGGGACGGCATGGGAGGACTAGAGCTGGACTGGCTGGATTAGCCTTGAAAAAGGGGCCCGCCTCTGCAAGAAGCCACGCCGAAAACCATCGTCAGACTTACCTTCTACATGTAAGTACCTTTTTATTCACCACCCGCTCAAAAGCAACAATGTCAATCGAATTAAGCTCGCGCGCATCGAGATACCTAGAGCCCGTTTTTAGGTTTATTTTTGCCTATGTCACAAACACCTAGCAAAAGGTTTAAAAGGAAGTCAATCAAAACTTTTAGGCTAATATCGAAATCAAGAATGAATAAACAGGTACCTAGTTACGTATGATTCGAAATAACTTGCCTGGCAAGTCTGGTATCTAATCCAGTGCTGGCTGGGATTCATCTACTTGGATAGTCCGTATTGGTTCAATATGAACACAGTGTGAACCGAGTTATTAGATATATCCCAAGTTACTTAAGGGAAGTTGAATGGTAGCGACTCGTAAAGAAAAATTAAAAGGGAAAGAAAAACATTCTAACAATATGAGTGAGAACTTGCATACTGATTAATATCATATTCTGTTTTCTATGAGGTGATATTTCTGATGAGACGATATATTAATAAGAGTAAGGGGTTATAGGTATTGCATCCGATAGCCTCCCCTACTCAAGCACTGTCAAGTAACGTCTCAAATTAAAAGGAATTCTGCGAGACGGTGTAGAATTGTTATTGTTCTACAGCTAGGTAGTAACACATATACATGATACATGACACATTATGATATCTTCGCCCTTTGATTCACCCACCACCTGCATGGTGGCTGGCACCATTGACTCGGTTATCTCAGCTTGCCGCCGACATGAGGCCTCAGACCCTTCCACAAGATCTGGCATACGAAGTAAGTACTATTAACTACCTGATACCGAAGGTATCGGAGATATCCATCGAATAAGGTAAGGTAAAGACAAGATACCTACCTAACCCAAGGTACTTATAAAAGCCTGGAACACAAAAAGCCGACTTGCCTTGTAGTTAGTGAGGGTTGTTATATCATGTCAACATAAAAGGACGCACAGTACGAAGTATTATCTACCCATCATCTTACAAGACAGACAAACGTCCATACTTGGAAATAATGATCATAAAAGCCTCTATTCGGTCGCTTTCCTCCTCGCTAACTACGTACCTTACTGGACAATTTAGTCAACTGACTCTCAGGAAAACTTCCAAAACAGGCAATTCTTCATTTCCCATCTCCTGTGTTCTACATTTGAACTTATGCACGCTATGGCCCATCGCAATGGTTCATCCCTTCACGTGTGCCCTTCGTCTAGTTTTAAACCTGGTGATCCTTCCAAGCCTCTACGTACTATGACTCTCTAGTAATCGACTCTTCATCTGTTTGTCCACAAGCCACGTTTTCTATCGTTCTCTATCTATCAAGGCAGACCCAGGAGTTTGGGCTCACGTCCTGCTATAAAAAAGAATCCCGGCAGTCTTGGATGTTTTCGCAATTCGGAAAAGGATGACCCTTGAAACGTGCCAGCTGTTGCATAACGCTGGTTCCAATGATGGTTCCAACGATGTTCCAAGTGAAAAAAATCGAGTCGCGGGGTGGACGGGTTGAACATCTTTCCGCATTGAGATAGCTGCAGATGCGTAGCGGGAAGCAATACCGCTTCTATCCAACAAACCGAACAGTCAATAGAAAGATTCAGATCCATAACGAAACGAATTAGGTACTGGCATCATGTCGAACATACATACTAGTACGTGCTTCAATCCCCATCGGTGGGCAGCTCTGGGCACAATGTTCTGGGTCCATCAAGCCTCGATTGGGTCGAGATGCACTGCGCTGCAAAGCATCGTGATAGCTACAGCAGCTCTGCCAATCGGCTCAGTTGCACCTTGCAGAGGCCATTAACTGATCCCCTTCATTACTGGTAAGTCGGTCGACTACTGCACAGAATTTATTTACACTACTGCCAGGGGATCAAAGTGGTCCTTATAACACGTCTATTATTACAGCGTTCTCCCGGTTTACAACTCTAACCCTGTCCTCCAAGCGTACCTCCTAATGTATGATGCTTTAAATCACATAATAGGTACTGTGATAAGAGGGTATCATGCCATTCAATGCCCAACTTATCTTCACCAATTTTTTACATAGTTAGTAGCTCCCGAAATTAATTTGAGTCTTTTAATGCGTGTCTACTCATATGATACACCTAGTACAATAAGGATTACTAGATGTTATATTAACAGCGCAACGAATTCAACTATTAACTTGGGACTTAAAGTGTCTACCTCTGTTTATAGCTCAGTATCCATACCTACCTTCTATACGATCAATACAATTTGTATGTTAGCGAAAATTTTCGGAAGATGCCCCAGACTTGCTCGCCGCGTAATAAATTGAGCCGTCGATCCCACGTGTCTCAATCCACAATGATATACGGCCCCCAAGCTGTCGGTACTACACTAGTAATAAAATTGAATTGGCTGTTAGCATATGACATTGTGCTCGGTAGCTTTCTCTTGAAAGCCTTAGCTGTCTACCTATCTACCCCTAGCACATGCTGCTCATTCTATTCAGCTAAGCCTGGACGCTGATGAGATGCTTAATAACCTAGGTAGCGATAATTTCCAAATGTCAACAAACCTCAGCTGTTTTCATACCAGTCAGGTCTACCTCGCTAGCCTGCTTCAGATCTTGGTTTACCCCTGGCTTCGGTTGCATTCGCCTAACACTAGATACCAGACGGGTCTAGCATGCGATCCGAGCACATGGCTACACACCCTCAATAAGTAAATACCTTGGATTCATCCTTGTGCCACGTGATCCGTCTCTATATGGCTGGCGTAGCTCAACCGTCCTGCCCTCCAAGGCGAGCTCTTCAGCTTAGGCGACCCGAACCAACGGACCATTCCTTTCGGCAATTATTTAGACCTATATATCCAAGGCTCAACCACTATGAATCTATATACGGCGGTGTTCCTACTTGATTAACCTACTCTTCTCTGCATCCGAAGCCAACGAGTACCTCTCCAGGTTGTATATCGGTCCAGGGCACCCACATTAAGGTGTTAGATTTACCTCTTGTCGACATGCTTCTCTAGACTTTAAACCGATGAATTGCGCGTCTATATCCCTTCATCCGTCGACACCCTAGGTAGCTTTCCGGTATTCCCCGCAGGAGTTTCTTCCGTATCTTCTAATCCTTCCAACTGTGAAATCCCTTCCCCGCTATCCGAATCCTTATAAGTCAACTTAGCCGTCTTCGTACTTCGAGGTTTGTCCCACGCATACATGGATAACTACATTCAACTTAATCGAGAGTCAATGCGATACTATTCAAGATCCAGTGGAAGCAATAGTTTTTACATGGTACGTATTCAGTATTGCCCTAGTGACAATAGCTGGTAAACTAACGGATAAGAAGTCATGGCATTCTCTCGTAGTTGCGTGACGTTCTAGTCAGCTCTCACACGTGATATCTACCTCTCGTCTATTGTCAGCTGAAGAATTATCTAGCTATTACTACCCCGGTACAGTAATTACGAAAAGAGTCGTACCGGGCCCTAGCGAAACCGCTGAAGGCTAAATCTATTATATTGGCATGAATTAGTTAATTGGCGTATCAAGCCCTTCCGGTTGTTTCCAGACGCAGATAAAGGGTCCTCGGTACAGTAATCGATACATCTTAGGCGCAATATATTAAGTGTGTTAGGTACGTTAGCAGTAATTGCCAGGTGGACGTATGGCTTTGCGTCTACTTGAAGTAAAATTCATTATCAATTCTCGAAGCAGGGCAACTGAGTAACATATAAAAGCAGCGGAAATTTGTGTATCTCTTTAAGCCAATGGTCATTCATCTTCCATGCCCCTTTCAGCCTTAATAGGCAATGACAATAAATATATTATAAATGTACACTTAATATATTACAGCACCTAGTGGCTTTTGGTACCACGCGGAATTCGTGAAAAGGGATTAGTACAAAGTAATAAATTACAATCGATATCAATTTCGAAAGAGACGACAGGCAATAACTGTGTAACTGTCACATGTCAAGCTACACCAAAGCAGGTTTTCAATATTGCTTTAGGTTAAGTAGGTAGGTACCTACCTCTTAAAGTACTCAGCTATTGTGTCTATATTATAGGGTGA